TACCCTCACAGGACCAATAGCCGTATTGCACACCACTGAAATATACGCAAACACAAACACAAATACCTTAATATGTAACTTGGTCGATGTATATTGCTATCATACCGTTTGTTTAGAACTTTCCATTCGTGACCAACTCGTGTTATTCAGGGACAAGAGCTTCATGGAGGTTGCGGACATGGGCGAGTGGTGACGAATGAGAACTTTTATGTTGTATGTTGTATAAATGTAAATATTGTTTATTACCTACGAGGGCGAACATATCGGGATTCATATTTTTCATACGATGCCCTAGGGCAAAATATCACTTGGTCATGGTGACGTTACGTCATGAACAAGGATATGACGCCACGTTTCTTCTGTGACGCTGCGTTCTACCCGCGGCGACGGCGGGTAGCCAGCCTGTTTTGAAAGTAGATTTAGGTTTATTTTCCTCAATTTGACGACTTCGGTAATACACAGGATATTATGTCCTCGTGCCTAAAAATCGGCATATCCCTCGCTCTCGCTCGGGAAATACCAGCATTTAGGCACTCGTGTTGTAAACATAGTATGACACGGGCACTCATATAATATCCTCTATTTATGTACCTCTTATGCTTCAGTTTGCAGTCTGAGTGAATAAAGTTCAGGTTCAGGGAAATACATGCTATGACCGGATTCACGTATGTTTCGAGATGATTTCCTAACTTCGGGCATATATTGCATATACAAAGCTATGCCTTTGAAACATATGCTCAGCCTATACAGTCGTGTGCACAAGCATTTCGTTTATGTTTGCTATGACCGGATCTTCATGTGTTTCCATGCGTGAAGTTAATAACAGATGCCCCAGCAAATACGTGATGACAGAGTTTACACAGCTTGGTTATTCACGTATTATACCGTATATCAAGGGCATGTATATGAACGGTTTATTTATGTTCATGTTACCGGTGTTCAAACAAGATGATCTTGTGTGTGGCCATCATTCGAAATACTTGGTTCATGTAATTACATTTTGATACATTTTAGTATGTTTTATATCAAAGTCCATGTGACCTCATTATTCTTATCACCTAAAGAGTCTGGCAAAAAAAAGCAGTGTTAATAACACACCTTCCTTCACTGCGGTCGAAGTAGCTACTGGTCTGCAAGCCAAATGCAAGCTGATTGTGAATCTGGGTCTAGATTTTCGAAGCTCTCTTAGCACTAAGATAGTCGTAAGTTAATGTTAATGTATGGCACTTACGACTATCTTAGCACTAAGAGAGAGCTTCGAAAATCTAGGCCCTGGCCAGTAATATAATTCTAAAGCTATGCTGTTCTGCTTGACTGTGTGGATTTTACATCTGCAAGGGACTCGCATTATCACGCAACCAATCTGAAAGATCTGTTCTCCAGCGTGAGCGCTCATCTGATACTGAACTACCTGAGGGAAGTTGATCTATATCATAAAATGTAACTGTGTAATGTCACTAACGAATTTACCTGCTTTTCAATTTAATGCTATGACATTCTCTGTTCTAAAATGACAACGTAATGAATGTATGTCTTTGAAACGAAACCACTTTGTACTTACAATGTATATTAATGCAGACTTGTTCTCGTCACTATATGGCTGGAATAATGCCGATGTGACGTAAAGCCCAACTCAACTCAACTCAACTGACTGGCTAGGTCAAATCTCAGATAATTTCTTCTTTATTTAATGCATGTGAATATGATGAAGAAATCTTAGTTTTTGTGTTTGTTTGATTTATATTGTTTCCAGGGACAGACAGCAACTTAACATCTTCAATTACCAAACATCACACAAGTTCTGACCGATGTGCATTTTGATATTGATATTTTGCAGGGCCAGTGAAGTATGATATCGGCTAGCAACATTTTACTTAACTAGCCCTCTAGGCCAGTGACTTTGCAATATTAATTCATACACTGAGTGTTATGCAAGCTAACGCGACTTTTTGTATTCGCTCTTGCTATCAGTATCAGTTACGTCTTGGGTGCATTGTTGGCAAACATTTACGGTGCTTGTTTGAGGAATTAAAAGGTTCAGGGTGCCGTTGTATGTGTTCCTCTATACCTCTATAGAACAGCCCTCTATTTCTCTTACCGCACCCGCCGTGCTGGAATATTGCTAAAAGCTGCCTAAGACCAAACTTACGCACTCTGGCAGCACAGCCAAATACTGTAATACCTTCTTATATTAACATTGAATAAATAATGCAAAAGTATTCGATAACAAACAATGTCATATGGAATGATTTGTGGTGGTGTGTGGTCCTGTGTGTAGAGCTCAGGACACAAATCAGTTGAAGTTAAACAACTTGGGCGCGGAGAGTCCTTGGATGGGTGGCCGTGTTTGGCAGCTTGACTCCTGAGGGTTTCTAGGACTTCAGTCCTGTCCGACTACGAAGCACATGTGATACATGTGGTCTCACCTCAGGCAAGTATGTTTGTTCAAAATTGCCTCTGTTCACCCAGCAGGAAATGGGTACCCGTTGGGATGAGTCATGTGACTATAACCTTCTGTAACTTGCCTAAAAGGCAGCCTGCATGGGTTATCCGGGGTAATAATGTGTTCACGCCATGAGCATGCTTACGAGCGTGGATATGTGAAAATTATAAATATACACTATTATTATAATTAATTATGCGAGACATAGAATGAAAAAGAGATGTTTTGCCGTATAGCGATTCTGTCGGGTTTATGGGGAGATATCCACTGGATTGAAATTAAATCACGAATGTTAATCTTCTGGGGAAAACTCATTTCAGGAAAAGCGTCTAATTTTTCTCTCCTCAATTATAAATTACTCTATAATAATACAATCTATGACACATCTGGATATACATGAATTGTCTGTATTAAGGACACTTTGACAAAATTGGAATTAGTTATATTTGGGCTACACAGGCATATCCTAATAAAAATACTCTAAAAGCACTTGTTGAAAACAGTGTGAAATAATCTTATCTAATCAAACACAGAAAAACCTTCAAGTAGGAACTATTAATATATTTTGGTAAAATTCTGAAATGAAATCTATCTGAATTTATTACATTATGATAATCGGAGGGCTTTACTCAATTTAAGACCTCAAACCATTACTTTCCAGTTGAAACAGGTCGATGGAGTTAAACACACCCAAATGAAAGAGTATGCCCTTTTTGAAATTCAAACGATATCGGAAATTAATTTCACTGTTTATTTGCTCTATCGTATTTGCCATAAGAAATGAAATACGTATATCAATAACTAAATGATAATGAATCACAAATCAGGCAGCGCAAACGCAAAAATGAAAACGCATTGATGTCTACCCTTGACATGGAACCAAAACTGGTGTACAGTATATTCAATGAGCAACATAAATGGTAAGGTTTCGATTAACTGACAATACAACTTCTTTGGTGTTTATTCGCTCTGTAGAAATGACTAACGCATAAAATGATCTATTTTTCCTTTCGTTTCCAAGGAAAGTTTGGAGAGAAAGTAAAATATGGTGGATTTTCCCCACGACGGTATGAAGGTTTACTGAGGGACGAGTTAGGGAACAAAAACAAGATATATAAGTGTTGTGGCATTTGTTTGATATGAAACACGGAAAATCTTCAAGAGGAACTATTAATATTATTTGGTAAAATTCTGACGATAAGATGTTGCAATGCGTCTAATATGTCTAATGTGTAAAGCTCATTTCTCGTGTCCCTCCGAATATTGCTAAAAGCGGCGTAAAACTAAACTCACTCACTTCTTTGAGTCTCAAATATATGTTTATATTGTTGAAGGACACTCTGTAACTTTCACGAGACACGGAGAATTCTATGTAAAACAGAATTTAGACTGTTCTTCCAAAAAACAAAATATATGTCATAACATGCACAGGCTATAATTAACAGTATATTGGTCAATCAGAAAATTTAAGAGCCCGGGTTCGTCACAATATATATGTAATGACGTCATACTGGAAGTGCTACAATCTCCCTGAAGAGTAAAGAAACATGTTGGAGAAAAAGGCATTCTGTTTTTATTTATCTATGTGATATTTATGACTGAACACCTGTACTATTTTGGACATTTTGTGCGTATGTATATTCTCATGATGATCACACTGACAGTGTGAAATCGGTTAGAATTGACTGACTGAGTTTGTTTTTACGCTGCTTTTAGCAATATTCCAGCAACATCACGGCGGGGGACACCAGAAATGGGCTTCACACATTGTGCCCATGTGGGGATTCGAACCCGGATCTTCAGCGTGACGAGACAACGCTTTAACCATTAGGCTACCCCACCGCCCCGGTTAGAATTGAAGAAATCTCCATCGGTTGTTGCTCATTTAAAATCTCTATATTATTCAATGCATGTTACGAAACAGTTTAAAAAGTGACTTTAATGTCGAAGTAAGGGGATAATCTAAGTTCTGGTCGCAACCCTGGTATTTTCGGAATTGTGGACTGTTTGTCACAGTTCTGGTCGCAACATACGTGCAGTTTGTCCCAGGCATATTTTTTTCCCAGGATGAGCCCTCTGCTTATTAACAGTCGGGTGTTTTCGTTATAGGCGGAAATACGAGTACGTTTTTTGTGTGTATTTATTGCGATTTTACAAACTGTTTTTGTTCAATTTTAATCACGGAAGGTGACTTTTCATCGGAATGTTTTTACCCCAATGAAAAGTTTTGTTTTAGTTAGTACTCTCCTTTAACGTGTAAAATGATATATGCCGGTTGTGATAGTATAAATAGGCTGAGACGTTCCCAAATGACTGATAGAAACCCTTTCCTTCGCTGTATGCTTCTTGACTCCTATTCCGGATTATCTGTATTCCGTTTGTATCAACCCGAGGCGTAAAAATATACATGCGTGGTATTGGTTTAAATTACAAAATAAGAATTCGAAATTAAATTTATTTTGTACATTATATAATTTAATATGTAATATTCGAACGAGCACTGGAATAAACATTCATCAATGTTATAGAAAATATGTATTTATAGTTTCGGTATGAATGCACTTCCGGTTCCGAAGCATGTGGAGTTGACATCCCGCTCTTACACAGGTGTCGATAGGGGATTGTCACATTTTGAGTTCGTCTATTTCACAGGTGAGACGCTTGTTTTCAAAACAAATCAGTAATGTTAAAGAAATAATGCTTTTGTGTATTTCTGCTGAATGAAATGAGCCATTTTTCTGAATTTGAGGCAATATTTCATTTTCTTTTCCTGAACATAGAAACGCCGGACTTCAGCGCCTACTCAGAATACCAGCCTGTCGTTGTGAAATATCCGGATATTTCTACTTAGTTTTACAAATTGATCTCTGTTTCAATTTATTTTTCATGGTAACCCTGAAACCCAGTTAACCGCGTACCATATGTTTAAAACACGTCTTCTGTTGTATTGAACCACCGTTATGACGTCATAGTTTCTATGCTGTATCAGTAGGCTTAGTGACAAACTACGGCCTATGTCGCAAATAACAATAGGTGAAATATTTGCCCCTCATTGGCTTCTTTTCAGTCAAATTGGATTCAGCTTAGGTGTGGTTTCTTTTTTAATAGTACTGTGAACATATTTTCACGTTTTGTATTATCACAAGACTTTTTTCAGCTAAGTGATGAGTGAAAATGAAACCCAAAATCATGTTTACTCACTTATAGGTTTTAAAGTAGATAAGATTTCCGTCCTGAAACCACGTTTTGGGGTGGTTTTTTTATCATTCTATGCCTAGGAATAGATGGTTTTCATATAAATAAATAACCCTAAACCCTCGAAATAATCCTAATAAATAGAATACATTTCGAGCAGAGAGTATGGGCGGAACTCTTACCTTGTAGTATTCCCTGTGAGCCTTTATTATTTCTCAGTAATAAGCATGATAAGCAACTGGTTGTGATTACTAAAGGGAGCTGTTCAACATGTGTATTCATAGACAGATTTCTTTTAAGAATTTAAGCTCTAGTATTTTACTGTTGGACTTGCTTATGTTTAGTATATGCAATAAGGGTATGATAATGAATGAAAAACGCTTTTAAAATTATAATATATTAACTATTTCCTATGTATTCCTAGTATGGTGCTAATAAGTAATTTCAACCAGATGGAAATGAAGAAAAACCTGTCATCGTTTTCGTGAAGCTCATCTACACATATCTTTCTCAGTATCTTTCCACTTCTTAGTATCATTGTAAATACAGTGTTCTCAAGGTTCAAAATATCCCCAAAATTAAATATGGACATTATGATCAGAAACATGAGAAAGGCCGAACTTAATAAGGAACCTATAACATTTTGAAAAGATACTGTTCAGCTTGTAATGCTGAGGACAAGATGCCATTGACACCAGCGTATATAGGGGTCAAATATCTCATTTCAGAGATTTACACCACTCAAACACAATGCCATCTGATGCCAAGAAAAAGCGTGAAGCTAAGAAAAAAGAAGCTCAGCGTAGCCGTGGGAAGAAACCACTGGAGAACGGAGAAGAAAATGACGTAAAAAATGGATCTACTGGTAAGCATGATTCTTTTCACCAGAGCAATGGCACATAATTTTGTCCACATTGGGTAAATCTAGTTTCATCTTTGTTCTTTCATCTAATTTCTAAGGGGATATTTTCAGAAACTTCTGGGCAAAACTCGATTGTTAACTGTTGTGATACGTCTTTTATCGACATTTTTAAACATTTTAGAAGGTGCCATAAATAATCATGAATTTTTATATCTGACCAATATTATGAGTGTCAGTCCACAAAGTGCCATGGTATTTCACAGATGGAATGAATATTGAGCATTGTGTGAGAGTTGCACTCGCACGCCACTGGAAAATAAGCAACTCACAGTTGACATCATAAAGAGCACCCTGTGTGTGAAATAGTTTCCCAAATTTTGCTAGCCAGTTGGGCTAGCTATGCCTGAAAGTTAATGGTCCATCAAATAATTCACTAGCCTGAAACTTGATGTAAAAACTAAGCAAAAGAATACAATAATAGATGAGAATAAGATATTGTTGGCATGACATGGGTTTCATCATTCAAATGATTAAGCTTCTAATATGCTGAACATTTTTATCAGGCCATAATCTTGTCTGATAACAAGTCGGAGAGAGTGATATATTTTCAAAATGACCCAATGAAAATTCACTGGCCAGTCGGGCCAGTGACTGTAGAGATTTTACTGCTCCGACTGGATTTTTATAAGCCACAGGCTAGTTGGCCAGTGGCTATTTTGCACTCTGGGCACTACTTTTATAACAAACACACTTATAACAAACTTATTTGTCCCTATCACATGCTGAAGGTTATAGTTGAAATGCACATATATACTCTGAGGCCAAATGTAGAGACCTGGCCTTATCATTCATACTGCATATCTTGACCATGTTGAACATGAAACCACTCACTCACAATCTCCTACCCAGAGTTCCATTCGGCCAGCAAGCATAGTACCTCTGCCACAGGCCAGAAAAATGTGACGATTCGTCACTAGTCACTTTTTGTCTTATTTCATACACTGATATAATGTACATATTTCTTGACTCGTTTATTTTTGACGAGTCTACACATCTATTTAAACATCTTTGATAGAATGGTTTAGTTTCACTGAGAAAATATCCCAAAACATGTAACACTATTTCAATTTGCGTAGTGATCGTTTTTTTACATAGGTTGTATGGCTCCACGTGCTGTCATCGAAGCCGACGGAGAGCTTGATAGCTTGACGGAGAGCTTGATGCAGCCAGTTTGATATCTAGATATGTACTGTCATAAACCTTACTGTCTCGGTTGTGGAAGAATATTTATGTAACAATGTAAAACATTATGAAGAGCTTGCCGAAAAGCTTGCGTAAGGCCAGTCTCTTCTTATTATGATAATGTGTGTTTGTTTACAAACAAGAGAAAAGTCTGGTCACCTGATATGCAAATTAGCCTGCGCCGGAGTGTGCACTTGTCACTGGCGCACTTTGCTGTTTCTTATGAAGTACATTTATTATTTCAGCTACACATTTCCATAGTGTTGTTAATGTGACACAGGGCGGAGGGGTAGCCTAGTGGGTAAAGTGTTCGCTTGTCACACCAAACACCCAGGTTTGATTCCCTACATGGGTATTTTGTGTAAAGCCAATTCCTGGTGTCTCCCCACCATGGTATTGCTGGAATATTGCTAAAAGCGGCATAAAACTAAACCCACTCAATGATCCCGGAAAGGAAGCATGCATCTCTTGACCATAATATATTTCAGTTACATTGTTTATACACCCATGAAGATCCGGGTTAGAATTGGTCTTCAGTAACTCATTCCATACATTACATATAGCTGGAATATTGCTGTGTGTGGCGTAAAACCAAACTCACTCCCTCCCCTCTGAGCCAAGTAGGCTGTGTGGGTCTTTTAAAGAAAATTACTAAAGATAGCATATCGTTATTGTGATATGCATCGAATCGTATCGTTCCAGGATTTTCTATATCGTCACACCTCTATTCTAATTACTGGATACGTTTTTTACTGCTGCTGAGTCATCCTAAAAGATATTATTATTATAATACTACAGGATGTTTATATAGTGCACATATACAGTGTTCACGAATGGTGTTTCAAAGTCACAGGACATAGGGTCCTGTAAGTTTCAGATGTCTGTCTGACCCATTGAAAATGCACAGGACCCATGGAATAAAATTAAACACACATTTCAGATTTAATATTTCTTATAATTGACATTGAAATTATTAACAATCATAAGATTTATAAACAGCAAACAAGTGTCACATGTCACAAAAAACAACTTCAGTCAAAGTCATTGTGAAATATACAGTCAGACACTGGGGCCGGCGGGTTGTAGACTTCTGTCTGACCGTTGGCAAATCTACCGGATTTGTCAGAGGGTCAGACGCTATTCGTGAACACTGCATTTAATGATATATATAGCAGGGCTCCAGATAGGTTTTCAACATCAGGAGTACGTACTCTTCATTTTCTCAATATAGGAGTACTGGAAAACCTTAAGTGTACATTTTGAGTACTGAATGGAATTTAATGGAGTATCAGTAATCTTGTGTTTCGTTTCATATATGCACCACAACATTGCTGCTCTTGTGTAAACAGGTCAATAAACAATAAAACAATACCTTTTCAGATAAATACGTCTGTAAATGATTCTAAGGTCATACACCATTGCTGTGGTGTGTATCTGCTACGTTTTCTAAATTATTTCCTACCGTATCGTGCATATTTTTTATCCGTACATACGCCGATGCGGCCCTTATCTGGAGCCCTGTATAGTGGTGTTCCGAAAATAAACGAAAATTGATTGAAAGAAGGATTAAAAATGGTTATCGCTTGTAAAAACATTTTCGATTATTTGGAATTTTGTTGTTTTAGTTTAACACACTTGAATGAAGTAAACTAGTAAATTTGATGAATATTCCCGAACAAATGTGCACTCAACAGCGTAAAGCTATGCGCATTGTAAGATTTTAACTACTTTTATTGTTTAATTACAATTCCAGTGTATTTCTTGCATGCATGCATTTCATTGCATGACAGTATTAGTTATAAGGAACATTTATCAGGAAAAACCAGGGGAAAACCCTTCAAATTGGTGATTTCATTAAAAATATAATATATTTCGATTATAATCGATAATCGTTCACCACAATCCTCGATAATCGATAGTGGATTTGGTTTCGATTCCCAACACTGCATATATAGATAGTGACTTTTCTTGCATTTGGTCTAGGACTATATAACAAACTATATGGAACTAAAATTAGTGATCCCTGTGAGTTTGTTACAACTGTATATTATAGTGTATTTGAAGTCAAGTCTCAGTAATAACATGAGGTAGGGAAAGTTATAGCAGTCTTTGAACATGTAAAGATAGCATTCCAGGCATGTGCTGAATGGCAACAGAAATAATTATTTATTGATATACTTCCCCAAGGTACATAAATTACTTATAGAGCACGGGCAACTCACCATCTCAAATTAAGATTGATTTAGGCTGTTTTTCAACCTTTAGTCATAAGTTTATGAGTAATTACTTACCAGCGATGATATTATCATGATTATTGATGTCCTGCAACAGATGTCGAGTTGTGACAGATGTAACCCTGAGCTCCTATCACCCTGGTAGGAGCCATTCCCACTTGTTGAAGAGTGATGGACCTACATTCATCAGTACTGTGGGGGTCGTGAGGTATCCTAGTGGTTAAAGCGCCAGGGTTTTACATGATTCCTGCGTATTTGATGCAACCATTTTGTAAAAGACTCTCAAAATATCATATGAGTCAAGCTTGATGCAAGTTTTATGAGTGACCCCAAGAATTCAGTTCAATAAATTGATTTGATAAGCAAACAATGATAGTTTTCATGAGGTCTTCATTAATTTAGATATTTCTTTCAATTCATGTTAATAACTGTATGCTACAGTGAATAAATCACAAGCACGATTATTTGTTCAGTTTACTGGATTTTGTTATGACTGATTTGAACTGTGAAAAATAAACTATTTATTAACTTTCGGTATCTTTTAAATGGCAATACAACACAAAACAACAAAATCTCTGCAAAACTCTTTCTTTTTGATATACAAAAATAAATATTACACTAAAAATTTCATGACTCCCAAACATTGAAAATGACACCCCAAAACAAATACTGTGAGTCACCATGACTCTCTTTTTTCGAAGTCTGTGTAAAACCCTGAAGAGCCTGCCTGTCATGTCAAAGACCCAGGTTCGATTCCTCACATGGGTACAATGCATAAAGCCCATTTCTCGTGTCCCCCAATGTGATGTTGCTGGACTGTTGCATAATGCAGCATAAAACCAGACTCACTCACTCACTCCTGTACTGAGGACTGCACTTTCATCAGTAGTTTTATTCGAAGTTGAAATCAATGTTTTTTGACAAACATACGGTTAAATATAAATTGTGGTGGGGGATTGTGGATGTCACCTTCTGTATTATCCACTTATGATGTACATAACAAGTGTTTACATTCTCCAGTATTTACCAGATTTTGGCCGGCAACAATTGCCCAGGACCGATACATTTGGAGGCTATCGGTCACCGTGTCCGGTAAAATACCAAATGTAATTTTTGTCCTACTTAAAATGTTACTGAAATTAGGATAAAATCGCTAAAATAATCCTCTAATAATAGAATCTGCCATTTACGATTTTACGCATGTAAAGGTTTGTTGGGAAAAAACTTGATCAGGGGATAAAACTTAACACAGGCATATCATTATTGTGTAAATAAAAGATTTGATTGTTGGATATAAGTGATAGATAGTGTCGAGTTTGGCAAGTTCATCAAGCAGTCATGACAGTCCCTCACTCACTGTTACAGCGTCATATTCTTTGTAATCTCTTTACTGGATTAGATCCGTGAAGATCCAGGTTAGAATTGATCTCAGTAACCCATGCTTGTCGTAAGAGGCGACTAACGGGATCAGGTGGTCAGACTTGCTGACTTGGTTGACACATGTCATCGGTTCCCAATTGTGTAGATTGATGCTCGTGCTGTTAATCATTGGATTGTCTGGTCCAAACTGGATTATTTACAAACCACAGCCATATAGCTGGAATATTACTGAATGCGGCATAAAACTATACTCGCTCACTTACTCTTTACCGGGTTAAAATTGATCTTCAGTAACCAATGCTTGTCGTAAGAGGCAACTAACCGGTTTGGGTGGTCAGGCTCGCAGACTTGGTTGATACATGTCATTGTATCCCAATCACGAATTCAATGCACGTGCTGTTGATCACTGAATTGTTTGATCCAGACTTACACAGACTGCCACCATATACTTGGAATACTGCTGAGTGCGTTTAACAACGAACTAACCAACTTTATGATCTTTTCAAATAATCAGAAGTAATAGCAAGCTACCAGCATTGTCAGCTTTTCGTTTTGATGTACATTTCCCATGTAAGTTGAATACACATTGTAATGATATTAAATCTGCCATTGTCCTAAAAAAATATTGTTGAATTTTAGGTCAACAGTTAAGGTGTTTTTGTTTTGAATTGGCCTTTAAAGGTCAATGGGAGTGCGAGGATAGAAATGCAGTGGGGGTCAGAGCACCAGACAGCAAATTTGGGAGTGCCTTTGTGAAAAGAAGTGGCCATATGTTTTGATGATCCAATTAAACATCACCACGATTATGGCGTTTAAATGATTTTGTTAATAAATCACATGTAAATGTACATTTGGGAGCTGGATTTCGTGAACACTATCATGACGTCAAGAATAGTTAAGCTGTGTTTGTTCTGGACCCAGAAACTATGTTGTCATCCAAACAATGATTTCCTGTCATGCTCCCTGGCATTCAAAATGACCATGCTCGTGTTAAGCTGTGAGATTGAGAATATTTTAATATTTACCATGCCATGGCACGCACATTAGGCACTACTTCAATCACTGGAGAGCTACTTGCATTCATATCTTGACCCATTTCAGGCAAGGTGTTGAGACTTCCTCATTATTTTTGTGATGAAATATGTTTACAGTAAACCCAACACTTGATAACTGTATAGAAATGAATGGTTTCCAGGTTTTAATGACTGACATTATTTCATGGTGTTTCAGCCAATGGTGCATCTAACGGCGTGGGTGAAGTGATTGATGCTCTAGATGGCCTTGATCTTGCCTCCAAGTACCGCTCCTGCACAGGTGTGTTGGCCTCGCATCCTGACAGTCGAGACGTCCACATCCACAACCTGTCCATCACCTTCCATGGTGTGGAGCTGCTGCAGGACACCAAGTTCGAGCTCAACGTGGGACGAAGATATGGTCTCATTGGCCTCAATGGATGTGGTAAGCTATAGGGACAATGTCGCCTCAAAGGAGCTGCCAACCTGTATGGACAATAGTGTGATAAACTACAAACAAAACAAATCAGTTCATTAACAACACAGGTTATTTTGTGAATCATACCGTCCATTATGCATATTCATGTACTGCTCAGATATATCACATTACTATAGTTAATTGCTTTTTCTAAGTTCTGAATCCCTGGGCCCCGTTCCTCGAAGTGATCGTAGCACTACGATAGTCGTAAGTCTGTGTTAAAGTATGGGAGTTACGATCATCTTAGCACTATGACTGTCGTAAGTCTATGTTAAAGTATGGGAGTTCCGATCATCTTAGCACTATGACTGTCGTAAGTCTATGTTAAAGTATGGGAGTTACGATCATCTTAGCACTATGACTGTCGTAAGTCTATGTTAAAGTATGGGAGTTACGATCATCTTAGCGCTACGGTCGCTTTGTGGAACGGGACCCAGGTCATGATGTATTTGTTTGGTCAATGACATGGATTGTATATCATTGTTGATGCTGAGGGTAAACTGTACATGTAGTACCCGTGAAGATCAGGGGTAGAATAGGTCTTCAGCAACCCATGCTTGCCACAAAAGGCAACTATTGCTTGTTGTAAGAGGCAACTAACAGGATCGGGTGGTCAGGCTCGCTGACTTGGTTGAAACATGTGTCTTCGGTTCCCAATTGTGCAGATCGATGCTCATGCTGTTGATCACTGGGTTGTCTGGTTCAGAGTCGATTTTTACAGACCAACGCCATATAGCTGGAATATTGCTGAGTGCGGCGTAAAACTAAACTCACTCACTCACTGTACATGTGGTAATTATCTAAATAGCAGGCTTATGTAATGTATTACCCTGTGAACATTGGTCTTCCATGTGTTAATAAAAGTATGAGTTACGTTGTGGTAATGGTCTAATTATCAGCATTATGTAATGGATAACACTGAACATTAGTCTTCCGTGTGTTAATTAAAGTATCAGTTACGTTATACAAGGAGCAGATCTGATCAGGGTGTAATGAGATATTTACTAATCTAATACAGTCAAAGGTAGGTTGCATAACTGGTATTGAGCATGATGAGTGGGCCCTGCATGTTGCGAGGTACAGAGGCTAGGGAAGCAGACGTACATTTTTTGACAGGGTAGCCTTACATCATCTGCTATCATCAACAAATATATGGCAATTTGACTGTATAAAAATGCCAATAGCATCATTCATTTATAAGATGAACGTTTGATTAAGAGAGGAATAAAATATTACCAGTCTCAATGAACAGGAAGCAGTCCAACTTTCTAGACAGGATACGAACAACATTTGTGTTGGCATCTCTACATTTATGTTGGCAAACACTATTTCAAAGTGTATACCTTTAGTGTGTAAAACAAACAACATCACAAGGGTGCATCTGAACAATGTTGTCAGTGCCCAGCTTTTCACTTGAACAGAAACACGTCACTGGCCATGCTGTACCCATGGAGATCCGGGTTAGAATTGGTCTTCAGCAACCAGCTTGTCAAAAAAGCCGAGTAACAGAAAATTTATGGTAAATCAAATGACTTTCCTTACAAACTGACATTGCTGTCTGCTTACTTTGACAGGCAAGTCAACGCTGCTCGCAGCTTTAGATCTCCGAGAGGTTCCTGTCCCCCCACATGTGGACATCTTCCTGTTGCGTCGAGAGATGCCCCCCAGCGACAAAACAGCTCTGGAGAGTGTCATTGAAGTTGACGAGGAGAGACTCAGGCTTGAGAAGGAAGCAGAAATACTTGGATCGAAAGACGACCCAGGTATGCCCTTCATTTGGCCAAAATGACTACTGCAGCCACAAGAATTATGCTTACATCAGGGCTTTATAGGAAAAACATCCCAGTAGGAATAAGTAAACAACCTTTGGGTGCTTGTTAAAAAGGAATTGAGTTAATGAAGACTTGTCTTATTGCTTGTATAAGTAAAATAGTTAGAATTTTGGTAGCCAGAAGTGACACCCATACCAGACATTCACTATGTCAATATGAATAAATAAGATTTCCCGTTTTATCTGTTTGATGAAACCTGTGAAGATCCGGGATAGAGTTGAGCTTCAGCAACCAGTTATTAGACAACTGAAACAATCCATTATGCAGTGAATCATATATATGTTCTCGTTAAAAAATAAATACCATGGATATGTTGACTACAGTGTTTTATTTTATTAAAGCCTGATTTGATTGCAAGACAATTTATGATAAATCAAATTACTTGCATAACAGTGTTATAGTGGATAGTGCACTCCTCACTCACTCACTGTAAGGTCAATACCCTAATTCAATACTGTTCAGAGATAACCCAGGCTGACTCTCTCTCTGTCTCTGCCCAGAATCCCATGAGCGTCTGCTGGATGTGTACGAGCGTCTGGACGAGATGGATGCTGACAACGCCGAGACAAAGGCTGGCTACATCCTCAGTGGTCTTGGTTTCACCAAAGATATGCAACACACAAAGGTAGCCATGATTCTTTGAAACTGTACACATGCTCTCATGTACGTTCAGGATTCAAATTAGTATTGCCTAATAATTGTTAGTCTGCTATGCAGGTTTGGAAACTATACACCTGTGCTCATGTACATTCAGGATTCAAATTAGTCGAAAAAAATTCTCGATGCATCGCTGTTGTCCTAATACTACCGGTCATGTTGGTAGGTCTGTCAGTACCGTAGTTGTAGGCTCAACCTATGCGGTATGTTGTGTCCCTATGCTAAGGTCCTGTGACTGGATTGAATGCTGTCAATGGAGCTTTAAACCCGACTTGTGCACTTGCATCTTCAACGAACATAACAAATGTGACTGCTTATGTTTTCAGGTGAAGGATTTCTCCGGAGGTTGGCGTATGCGTATTGCTCTGGCTCGTGCGCTGTACATCAAACCTGCCCTGCTTCTATTGGACGAGCCCACCAACCATCTGGATCTAAATGCCTGTGTGTGGCTGGAACAAGAACTTGCCAAGTAAGACTGAGAACTAGTGGTGGTCCGATTAATTGAAATAATCGAAGATTGGTCGCAGTGATTAAGCGACCAAGCAATCGATCATGTTTTCTCATAATCGAACACAAACAATTCTGGAACATTTGTTTGCATTAATAATATTTTTCACAAGGCTGGTTTTGTCTGTCATTAAATTTACATTTCATAATCACTACAAGCTCGTTCCATGTCATGATTGAATTTATCTTAAAGTCTTCAAGAAATTCATGTTCCTAACATACTAGTCATCCTTTAAAGATGTGAAATTTACAAATGCATTTTGTGCAAGTTGCAAAAAACAAAACAAAGAACTACATGTTTCTTCTTTATTTAGAAAAATAACCAGGAAAATTTCATAAATGATGCTAACCAATTATTTTTGATGATTGATCGGTTGTAATGAACCAATCATCTATTATGAGATTTTAACCAATTCCCAACACTACTGAGAACACCAGGGCAATCATACAGCACAAACTGTTGAAAGTTTTTTAAAGTATGGGAGCTACAATTGTCGTTGCACTAAGGCACCTTAGCCAGACAGGCTCAAGGTGTACAGAAGTATATATAATCTGGTTCTGTAGCTGCTAGTTTGAGAATAGGGACATTCAGGACGGATTGGTGGCATTTCCTTGAGGACTAACACAATTACCATTAACTGGATGACAGCTGTAGAATGCTACATTTGCCATTGTTATATTTCGTGGTTTGTCAGCACCACTTCCATCCTTGTGGGTTTCATCTTGTCCAACATTAATTATTCCCCGCCATGAAGTGGGATGGGGATATAGGTTTGAACTCCATACGTCCGTCCGTCTATTCGAGATGATGGGGACAGATTTTCTCAAAAACCGTTAAAGATAGCGAAACCAAATTTGGTATGTGATTTCAGGACATGAATGCCTTGATGGCAGTTGAAAACGGAAACCATGTTACAATTTGTTACAGAGTTATGGCCCTTGTCATGCGTATCTTGACTTAGTGCCCAATGGGCACATATTTTCTCATTAAACAGCTTATGTATCGCTATTTGTAGGAAGAATGAATAGTTGTCAAGATAGGAACAGAACACTGTGCCAGGGGATATTGATGACCATATCTTGTTGATATTAGGTATTACTGATCTATATTGATAGCCAGCGCTAGTCAGCCCTCACGCGATTGGTCACATTGTGTGAAGGCCATTTCTGGTGGGCCCCCCCTGCCATCATATTGCTAAAAGTGGCATAAAACCCAACTCACTCACTCACTACAATACGTTGTGGTTTGGTTTCAGCTACAAACGTATCTTGATGATCATCTCCCACTCTCAGGACTTCCTCAACGGCGTCTGCACCAACATTGTGCACATGCAGCTCAACAAACTCAAGTACTATGGTGTAAGTGTGGATATATGCTGTCTTCATGTTGTCTGAACCTGTAGTTTTGTCTGAAGGCTTCTTGTAAGACCCCAACTGATGAGGATTGGATATTAGCAATGTGTGGTATGGCATGGTTACCATGGTTACACTATTGCATCAATCCATTGCTCATACGGTCAACCACTGGTTTGCCTGTTTCATGGTTGCATAGTTACAGGACAATGGATTAGGTTTGACTGTTTTGCTATTGTGTTTGTATAGTAATAGTATAAACTGTTTTTGAAGCTTGATGAAGATATTGATCAATGAAATACAAACGAGTGAAATATTACTGACGTCATAGTTTCCTACACGAACTGATGGGACATATACTCTAACTTGAACTTCATGTCATTCTTCAACACATGACAGGTCTGAAATGTAGCTGATAAAACATTGTTTTCTGACTTGTTTACTTTTAACTTTTAACCAATTTGCTTCTTTCAAAGTATGCGTTTTATGCATAAAGTTGAATTCTTTCAAACTCGGGTTAGAAAAAGTACCCGCAATATCCCATTGAAACTTGTAAGAGTAAACTAACATTACTATCTTTCATTCTGCCATCCAGTGAAGATCTGGTTAAGACATTGTATTCAGCGACCCATGCTTGTTATAAACAGCCCCTACCAGGGTTTAAAGGTCAAGGTCACCAACTAGGTTAATTCATGTCATGGTGCCCTAAATGTGTAGACAGATGCACATGTCAATCACTTGATTGTGTGGTCACACAGACTGCTGGCGTCTTGCAGCTGGAGTATTGCAGAGTTTGGCATAAAACAGACAAATGTTCATTCTGTGTTACCCGCGAATAACGCGAATATTGATCTTCAGTAACCCATGTTTGTCGTAAGTGTTGACTGACTTGGTGGACACATGTCATCGGTTCCCAATTGTGCAGATCGATGCTCATGCTGTTGATCACTGGTCCAGACTCGATTATATACAGACCGCCGCCATATAACTGGAATATTGCTGAGTGCAGCTTAGAACTCGCTCACTCATTCTCAGTTTGTGTCCAGATAAGACTCAGTTCTTTACAGGTGGACATTGACCAAGTTGAGCAACTCTCCCTGATATGTGTATGTCTGTTGTTGTCAGGGTAACTACGATACCTACATGCAGACCCGTATGGAGCTGGAAGAAAACCAGATGAAGCGGTACAAGTGGGAACAGGATCAGATCTCCCACATGAAGGTGGGTTACCTCCCCTTGGTTGTCAAACAACAACCGGTTCCTGTTCTTTCCTTCGAGATGTAGACACTGTCAGGAGTTTGGAACATGATGACATAAAAGGCCGAGGTTCAGTACAGAGTTCTCTCCCTTGGAGATTGACGCTTAGTACAATGGTCAAACTTTCGTAGCGATTATTTTCTGATTCCAAACAGCTGACAAACTTATGTATTTACCCTGAAGTATTTGTATTTTTTTCAGAGGAAACTTTATTGAATACATTTGACCAAATAGGTAACCATGATTAACTTAGGCAACTAACTCTGCCTCCATGTAATGTATGGAGATAACTATATAAAGAGAAAAATAATCTGAAAAGTACATTTTTCAACGAACATATAGATTTTTCAGATCTGTAAAATCAGAAGATAAACAAGTTGGCTTTTGTGGATTGAATGTCCATATGTGTAACCTAGTAATATTTTACATACTCCCACTCAGTGCCTCTCAGGCTGACATTGAGCAGGTATCATTGCCCAGGTTAGGTTCTCCTGTCAGTTAGGTTTATAAGTTACTCAACAGTGATGTCTGATCACTGCAGATGGAAGTGCTTTTATTGGTGTATAATATAACTGCATGCACGTTTTTCAGCTATATTGTCTGTGTTGTGACAGTTTGGAATATGATGACAGAAAAGGCCGAGGTTCAGTACAGAGTTCTCTCCCTTGGAGATTGATGCTTAGTACAATGGTCAAACTTTCGTAGCGATTATTTTCTGATTCCAAACAGCTGACAAACTTATGTATTTACCCTGAAGTATTTGTATTTTTTTCAGAGGAAACTTTATTGAATACATTTGACCAAATAAGTAACCATGATATGATTAACTCAGGCAACTAACTCTGCCTCCATGTAATGTATGGAGATAACTATATAAAGAAAGAGAAAAATAATCTGAAAAGTACATTTTGCCACAAACAGAGATTTTTCAGATCTGTAAAATCAGAAAATAAACAAGTTGGCTTTTGTGGATTGAATGTCCATATGTGTAACCTAGTAATATAATTTACATACTCCCACTCAGTGCCTCTCAGGCTGACATTGAGCAGGTATCATTGCCCAGGTTAGGTTCTCCTGTCAGTTAGGTTTATAAGTTACTCAACAGTGATGTCTGATCACTGCAGATGGAAGTGCTTTTATTGGTGTATAATATAACTGCATGCACGTTTTTCAGCTATATTGTCTGTGTTGTGACAGTTTGGAATATGATGACAGAAAAGGCCGAGGTTCAGTACAGAGTTCTCTCCCTTGGAGATTGACGCTTAGTACAATGGTCAAACTTCCATAGCGATTATTTTCTGATTCCAAACTAGTTGCTAACACAAATTTGAGCATCAACACAAGGGTAGTTGACTATAAATTCAGCAGTTTTGGCTATTTAAGTGATGTTTTTACATTTGAGTTTCAGACTGAATCATGAACTGTATTGAAATGTTTATTTTCAGAACTACATTGCTCGGTTTGGTCACGGCAGTGCCAAGTTGGCCCGTCAGGCTCAGAGTAAAGAAAAGACGCTGAAAAAAATGGTGGATGGAGGACTCACAGAGCGAGTCACCTCTGACAAGGTGAGATGCAGTGGTTGAGGAGTCTGCCTTCTTGTCTGACAGGAATCGATAGACAGCAGAGATATAAATAATGAAAGTGTCAAGAGGTCATCATCATAACGCTATTCTTTTTCAGAAGAAGTCCTCCTTGGGGTACATATTAGCATTAAAATGTCCATTTTAAAATACCTACGACAGTTGTACTGGTAACAATATTTCAATAAAATATTTTACCAAACAAAAACTCGAATTGTTTAGTGAGACCACCCCTAAAGGGCCCCTCACAGGGCCCCCTACAGCCAAGCTCAGGTAACTCTGGCTGCTTACCTCGTACCTCACTTTTCATGCTGTCGTTGACTAGAACGGTCGTGCATGGTCCAGAGAAGACATGTCTTCGCCTGATACTACGATAGAGAAAATGAGTGAGAAAGAGTCAAATCCTGTATGTATGGTTCCTTCTTTTTCATTCATTATTTGTTGTAACTTTGCCGGCGTGTTCGCTGTCTCCAGCCATGTGGCAGGCAAGATGGCGGACCGCGGGGTCCTTTTGTTATCCCTTCTGCTGGCTTTGAAAGCCTTGTAGTTGGGTTGTAAGGGTTTGATATTTCATTATGTAGATTATGCTTGCCTAAGTTCCTCTTTTTCAGCGGGTGTTTTGTAAGTTTTGCTTGAGTGATTTCGTAGCGTGTTCGTTTCGTTTCGCTCACAAATGTTGCTCTTTTAGGCTAATGTGGCTTTATGCTAGCATTTGATAGCTTTGCTGTAGCAGTTAAGTACCGCCGTATTTTTTCTGTGTTATTGTGTACATATTCCACTATGTCAAACAGTCCTTGCTATTAGTCATAGCGCGGTTCTGTTTTTTGCAGCCCAAGGGGTGTCTTACCTGTAGTGCTACCTTATCGTCTCAGGATCGCCACCTTGTATGTTTGCGTTGCTTGGCGGAGGAAGCCCATGATGAGCAGGGTTGTGCCATGTGTCAGTTTCCCCTCGTTCCATTAAGTCGCGACGTGCGGACATGATGTTCTACACGTCTTTCCTTTTCTTTTTCTTTGGGGAAAGACATTTGGGCGCAGGAGCCTCCCTCTAAGGTTAAGGATGAAAAGGCTAAGAAAAAGAAGGGTTCTTCTTCGTCTGTATCAGGGGATACAGCGCCTAAACGGACGAAGGGTGCGGGGTCTTCGGTCCCGTCACCAGCCATTCCTTCCTTTTCAGAGGAAGGGGAAGTCAGCCCCGGCTTCCCAGCAATAATTCCCCCGGAGCCCTTGTCGGTACCAGATCAAGCAGTCGGAGTATTGCCGACGTCTGGTATCCATTGCCTCATGCCACATCCCTGTGGGTGGTCTCTCTTCCTGTCGGAATGGGAAAAGGTCACCTCCAATACTTAGGTCCTGTCCACGCTCAGGGAGGGCCACATGCCACAGTGGAAGCGACACCCACCTCCCTTCTCCAGGATCCATTGCACTCCAGTGCCGGCTGCCTTAGAGAAGGTGGAGGTGCTCTGTGCCGAGGTCCAGTCATTACTGGACAAGGCAGCCATCAAGGTGGTTCCAGTGGGATAGGAAATGGCAGGTTATTACTCGACCTATTTCCTCGTCACCAAAAAGGACGGAGGGTTCAGACCTATTTTAAACTGCTTTCCAGCTCGATTGCACGGGCAGGGTTCTGTGGGCGTTCCCGCCACTACCCCTGATTCCCAAAGTCCTCTCGCAGCTTGCCACCCAACCAGCTCGACTTCTTGTGCTCCTTGCACCTCTTTGGTCGGCTCAAAGCTGGTTTCCGGTACTACTCAGGTTTCTGGCTCAGCCTCCTGTACTATTACCCTTTGGACCGGACCTACTATCCCAGAACGGAGCGCCACACCCGAATCCCAGGATTCAGTGGGTGGCCTGGCCACTGTCCGGAATCGCCTCAAAGCGAGCGGAATTCCTGCACCAGTTGCAGACACAATTCTGGTTTTGCGAGGGATTCGACAAACGTTCAATATGAGGATAGGTGGGCCTGTTATATTCGCTGGTGTGTCGGCAGAGGGTTTCTCGATCCCTTTTCTTCAACTGTAATTGAAGTACTGGAGTTCTTACAGTCTCGGTTAGAAGCCGGCTTAGCCGCGTCTACTATCCGTGGCTACCCCCACGGCATCTTTGCCTTTCGTGTACCTGCTGACGGTGCTCTTGGGGCAGCACCCTCTTGTGCAGCGCTTTTTAGCAGGCGTGGACAGAATCCGTCCGACTGTCCAGCGGATTAGTCTCCCCGCGGGACTTGTCAATCTTTCTTGATAGGATGTTGCGGTAACGCCTGGCCGGCGGGGTAGACGATGTCCATGCGATGTCAGCGGATCCTGCTCTGATTGTCTTTCACAAAGACAGTCAGTATTCGGATATTCCGGTTGTATGAGTTACTCTCACAAAGGGTTAACTATCCCTGAGCATATCGCTAAGGGCTCATGGCGTTGGTAAGGCTGGTTAAGGCAGTATGGCTGAGGGTTAAAGGCTCATTCGGTTAGGGCAGTGGCGACGTCTAAGGCATATGCCGCGGCACTGCCCATTGAGGAGATCTGCTCAGCGACTATTTGGAGCTGACCGAGTACGTTCATGCGCCATTATCAACTGGACAAACACTCATGGGAACGTGCTCGGTTTGGCCAGACAGTTCTCACCAGTGGGCAGTGTCATGACTCTTTAGCCGAATGAACTTTCGAGGTCACAATTGTTTTTATTTCCTGGTGTCAGTTTTATAAAATTCCACAATTTTTATTAGTGGTGTTTTTTACCGATTTTAGTGGCTCTGGCGTTGTCACACGCTGTATCCACTGTTTTTCTTCCCTGCACCACGCTTCGCTTGTTTGGGATTATGAATGGTATGTTTAGGACTTGTCCATACATTCCTTCCATTCCATTTGATGGTTGGGGGGAGGGCTTTACGTCCATCATTAAAATTCCGCCAATAGTGTATAAGCTAGGCTCTTCTTACCCCGCCTTGCCACGCCCCTGCCTGTTTGACATCAGTGGTCAGGTGACTCGGTAAGTGTATTTTCTCTCTCTTTTGGCTTCGGCTGTGCCTTCGATTGAACTAGGGGGTATGTTAGCCAGACTGAATGCTGCTCCCGACTCGCCATCGTTGGGAGTCTGTCTTATGCTTATATGTACCCCAAGGAGGACTTCTTCTGAAAAAGAATTGTACAAACCTGTAGAGGTTATGAATTCTTTGAAGAAAAGTCCTCCTTGGGGTACTGCCGCCTCCACCTCCCCTCATTATGTCTGACACGTTCAGCATGAAAAGTGAGGTACGAGGTAAGCAGCCAGAGTTACCTGCTGTTGGGTGTAGGGGGCCCTGTGAGGGGCCCTATAGGGGTGGTTTCACTAAACAAAACGAGTTTTTGTTTGGTAAAATATTTTATTGAAATATTGTTACAACTGTCGTAGGTATTTTAAAATGGACATTTTAATGCTTATATGTACCCCAAGGAGGACTTTTCTTCAAAGAATTCATAACCTCTACAGGTTTGTACAAATTTTTAGGAAGTCAGATTTCAAGGTATTGAGAGTTAAGATGCATTTTAGAAGATTAAAATAATAATTAATTTTTGATAATAGAAATATGCTCTGAAGATGTCATTTTAATATTGCAACTAAATTCTTGCACAATGGTGTATTCCAGACACTGTCGTTCTACTTCCCAAGCTGTGGGAAACTGCCACCACCTGTCATTATGGTCCAGCACGTCAGCTTCAGATATAATGACAAGAAGGTAAGTCAATGTTCTGCATCTTTATAGAGGCAAATACACGTGCAGATCAGCAACCCATGCTTCTGTGAAGAGGCGACTAATGGAATCAGGTGGTCAGGCTCGCTGGCTTGGTGGGCACATGTCATTGTATCCCGATTGTGTAGATCGATGTTCATGCTGTCAGTCACTGGATTGTAGGGCTGAGTATTGCACCAAATTTCGTATTGCGATATATTGCAATACACGTAAAGTGTATTGCAATATGTATAGCAAAGGGAGGTAATAATACTATCGGGCCGAGTCATAGATGCGTCCAGGGCACTTGTGGAGATTTATCGGAACATATACCCTTGAGAATATCGAAGATGCTACAAACAAATCATTGTAAAATGATTTATTAAAAATAAATAAACAAACATAAAGCACTTCTCAGTTCTCACTGGTGTGTTTTCTTTCCAGACACTTTGGCACATACAATCTGAATCAGCTCCTAAATTCATAGAATGAAAGTTCAAATTTGTACCATAACTTAATTGTGACATAACATGACTTGACTTTTCAGTGAGAAATAATTTCAAATATCAAATTTGGCAAGTAGAAATTCTTCCTCTGCAGACGAACTAGATGCCGCCATTTTGTTGCTATGTAGATACAAGGGCAGATAATTTGGGGAGGTAACTCTTTCATAACCAATATATTGCTTTAGTAAAAACGTATCGTGATATTCGTATCGCAGGTTCAAAACCGGTAAAAAACGGTATACCGGTAATATTGCTCAGCCCTACTGGATTGTCTGGTCCAGTCTCAATTAATCATAAACTGTTGCCATATAGCCGGAATATTGCTGAGTGCTAGGGTAAACAACAAACTATACACGTAAAATGCTTGGGCTGTGATCTCTAGCGGTGACTATTGAGGGTGAATCAACTATTGTGATAGCGATAGTCTATTGCAACAAACTATTGCAATAGTTTTCTTTCTCTCCTTGAATTGTCTCATTTGAAGTTATTTCCCAAATGAATGTTTAGATTATATGAACTAAAAACAAGTTGAAGTAGTTTCAGTCTCTTTTAATAACTGACTAAAAACTTGAAACCAAGATCAAGTGAACAATAGAAACATAAACTCAATGAAGGTGCAAGTCTGCACCCAAACAATTTTTAAAAAATGCAAAACGTCATAAATATTTAATAAAAACAAATAACCATCCAAATACCCATTTCAAATACTAGACTGTCGATAGTCACACATAGTTTTTCGTTTCTACCATCGATTAATTGCTATCAGAAACTCAACGATTGCATTCCATCAATAGTTTGATGCCTCGTTACAGCCGTAGATATGTTTCTCTCCTTTGGACATGTATTGCATGTGTTTCTGAAATGGAGGTTAGACAGGTGTTCCTCCAGCATATTACATCTGTGAATAGCAAGCCCTTGAACAAAGCAATCCTCATAGGGATTAGACCAGTAACCTTTGCTTGTCAATAGAGGCAGCTGAAACGGATGCCTGGTCAGACATGATCTACATGACTTTGTACCCCACTTATTTGATCTACCAATTTTATTGAGTACTTTCATCACTTTGGGCAGCCAAAGCTTATGGTAGAACCTTCGGATTGTGGTAGAATTATAATGCATGGTTTCTATATGCAGCCCCACATCTACAAGGATCTGGACTTTGGCGTGGACTTGGATACCAGAGTGGCTTTGGTTGGACCTAACGGAGCAGGAAAGACAACTCTCCTCAAGCTGATTACAGGAGATGTAAGATTACTCTTGATTAAATTTTAGTTCTGTCTTAAGGTTGTAAAGAAGTGTTTTATATCTTATTGAATGCGTCAGTTAACTGCACCATTGAGTCCCTCACATCGTGCTTTGGCAGTATTTGACTTTATTCCTTTGAAAAACCATCCTACCTTACATTTTTGATTATCTGGACAGGCTACTTTGTCCCATCATTAGGTTCACATCACAGCTATTCAAAACACATTGACATGGGAAAATGTCTAGTGCATGTCCTCATCGAGAAAGACATTACTAAGGCCACTGTGACAGGATGCCTCAAAACTGCCATAGCAGACAGCGGTCTATGTACAAACCCTTTAATGTATACTGTTAAGATGTAATAGAGGCAGGGTGCTCAAAGGACTCAATGTGTATAAGTCTATGAATACTTCTGTTATTACATCAGGAATTTTTGTTGTGGTTGGGTAGCTTAGTGGTTAAGGTATTCACTTGTCACGCTTGAGGGCCAGGTTCAGTTCCCCATGGGCACAATGTGTGAAGACCATTTCTGGTGTCCCCAGCTGTGATATTGCTGGAATACTGCTAAAAGCAGCGTTCAAACTAAATTTCCCTCCCTCACATCAGGAAATTGTTTCTACTGCCTTCAAGTATGTCTGATAGATGTTAGTTTTATCTGTTGACATAAGTGATGTATTGCTTGAGCGCTGTTGCATTTCCTGCAGAGGATAGCGTTATCCTCACAACTATTAGAGTGTTGTCAGTGAATGGTGTCTGTTGAATATGAAAACAATTTACAGTGTGATTGAGAGTAAAAACAAATGTATGGCCTAGGGGTGTCACGATACACCAATCTCACAATACGATACGTATCACGATTTTAAGGTCACGATACGATACGTATCGCGATACATAATTTTCGCGCCTTTTCAAAGCATTACCTTACCGGCAACGTAGGCGCTCGCTGATTGGTTTATCAAAATAGTCTAGCCAATCACAAAAGCTGTTAGTTTCCAACCTATTTTTTAAGTAAAGCTAGCTACATCTATTTATCGGAGCCGTCTCGTTTAATTTTACTATCAAGACTTTGAAGGAGATGGATATAGCATAAAAATTTGAATCGATAAAGTTTTAAAATAGGAATCGATACACGTAAGCATGTATCGCGTATCGTATCGTCAGTAAAAATGTATCGATGAATCGATACATTCGCATATCGCGACACCCCTAGTATGGCCTCAGTGTCGTGGTTGTAGAATTTTACTCTGATAACCATGATAACTATTAGTGCTGCGCAATATAACCGGTTTACCGGTATTTACAGGTTCAGACATGAAAACGATACGTATTGCGATACGCTGATCGAAAACCGGTATTTTGACATGCATTCGGAAAACTTCGTAACACTCGGAAATCTTCGGATATTTCCGTTTTAAGTTGTTCCTTTCCTTTTTTTATTTGTGCCAAATATTATTTACATTTGTTTTTTGTCATGATTAAAAGTTTTTATTAAATCTTAATCAAGCATAGATTTTGTTGTGGTTTTGCTTTATAAATCAAGCATTAACTCGATTATACGTAGGTTTTTGTTGAAAAAAACCTTTTTGCAATATATTGCAATACATATCATAATACACGCTTTTGCATCGCAATATATCACAATAAGAAAATTCTCTGCAATACCCACCCCTAATAACTATTGATTGATTATTTGCACATAATTTGATCAATTGTGCATAGTGCTCAGTGAATAACTTTTTTAGTGATATGACAAATAAGGAAAGCACCACATCTTATTAAATGGCATGGACCCTAAAAACATTATGTCCTCACAAAATGTTTATATGTTTACATGTCATTCGAATTTATTGATCGATTGTTTGCATGGTATGTAGTCGGTGTAGAGTGTAAGGGCACAATCTGGTAAAGTTGAGCATTGTTGGTTGTGGAGGGTCCTTGGATGGATGGCTGTGTTCATCAGTTTGGTTCCTAGGTGTTTGTTGGTCTCTGGTTTTGTGGTACACTGAAATATATAGCACATGTACTAGTGTCACCTTGGGCATGGCACTTTGTTGATACGTTGCCTCTGTTCACCCAGCAGAGGATGGGTACCCGGTGGATCTCATGGCAGTGTGGTTGTTATTGCATCACACAGGCTTTCAGGAAAATGATAATAAAAATAGAATGCAAACTGATCTGTTTGTTGGGGTAATAATGTGCTTTGAGCATCTTTCTAAGAATAAGGATAATACAATATGAGAGGTTGTTTGTTATCATATTATTACTATTTTTATTATTCCAGCTTGTCCCAACAGAGGGTTTGATACGTCGGCATTCTCACTTGAAGATTGGCAGATACCACCAGGTAAGAAGCATGGCAGACCAGCTCATTAAATGTCCACTAGACAAAAGGTCATATCACGTCGCGTCACGTCATGTCATGTCATGGCCTGTCTATCTGAAATCAGCATCGATTTCTTGTTGATTCATAAAGTGGAACAGTTTTAAGTTGCACTTTCAGATTTGTCAGTAAAGGTCTTTGGCCTGGTTTTGAAAGTACTGAAACTGTTGTGTGAAGTTGCTATTATCATAAGTCGCCACAGTTAGTTTGGTCCCAGCATACGTAAACCTTTAATGCTGTTGATCAGCCTTTAATACTGTGTATGCAAACAAATTGTTATAGTCACAACATCAAGAACACTATGATAGACATCTTTGGATTTCTCTTTGAGGCTCCAAACTCACTCCCTCAACACACCCCACCTACTCACAGGACGGTGGGGTAGCCTAGTGGTTAAAGAGTTCATTCGTCACGCTATAGACCCAGGTACGATTCCCCACATGGGTACAATGTGTGCAGCCCATTTCTGGTGTCCCCTGCTCTGATATTGCTGGAATATTGCTAAAAGTGGCATAAAACTTAACTTATTCACTCCACCTACTCGCTACACTTACTCGCTCCACTCTCTCTCACTGACTCGCTCGTCTGTTTGTCCAGCACCTCCATGACCAGCTGGACGTGGAGATGTCTGCCCTGGACTACATGATGAAGTGCTACCCTGATATCAAGGAAAGGGAGGAGATGAGGAAGATCATCGGCCGCTTCGGTCTCACGGGACTACAACAGGTACACACTTTAGTGCAGAATTTTCAAGATGAACTGTTATGTAGTGTTCAAAATAGCTGTAATCCATAAGACCAAGACGCTGATTAGTTGTCCTAGTGCATGCTCATAGGCTCTCAGATATGGTTGGACTGATACTGTCCGCATGGCTAACAGATATTTTGATGACATTTGTGGCAGCATGGAAACCATAACTTAATACTGTTATTAAAAGGTTTTTAGGTATTTTATCTCAGTTTTATATGTTAACTAGTTCGAAACCTGGTATCTTTTGACTTTTTAATCCGTCCAAAGTGTAGTTTGTGATTTGTTGTTGTTTCAGGTGTGTCCCATCAAGAACCTGTCTGACGGTCAGAGATGCCGCGTCACCTTCGCCTGGTTAGCCTGGCAGTGTCCCCATCTGCTATTACTGGATGAGCCTACCAACCACTTGGACCTTGAAACCATCGACGCCCTGGCTGATGCCATTAATGAGTTCGATGGTGGAATGATCCTTGTCAGTCACGACTTCAGGCTTATATCACAGGTAGGAAGGATTCTCTTTATATATAGGTACATTGCTTGTCTCTGATGGATGGGGAAGGCATTTGTTAATTTGAAATTTTAATCACTCAAGCTCTAATGATTGACAGGAATACAGTGAAAGCTGTCAAAACCGGCAAGTTGTCAACACCGGGGTAAAATCTCCTGTCCATGGCTAGTACATTTATCATCATTTAAAAAGCTCTGCAATCAGACAGCTGTAAATTCCAGATCTTGGCATGAAATGAGCCGCACGAATATGTGTTTATACAGTAATCAGCACTGTCTAATCCGGCACATGGCGAGGAGTCGGGCGGATGTGAATTGTCATCCATTATTCCTGCCCTGAAATTACATGGTTGCCGACAAAGATAATTTAATCTTAGTTCAGTATGGGTACACTTGTACATGTCATTAGTGAGTTCACACGTAGGCGTAAATCTTTGTCTTTTATTTTCAATGTATGCAGTAATTGAGAGAACCTCGTGATACAATAGTGTATATGAGAGTGACAAAATTGGTTCAGTTCTAGTCGGAGATAACCATGTCAGCTCTACAATCCAGCACACTGTCTAAACTGGATTATTCTTCAGTCCCGATGAGTGCCGGTTTAGACAGCTTCCATTGTATATAATCGGTGAAGCTTTAAAATACCTCTGGTAACATTCAGCATGAGTCATGATGTAAAAAGAGGTGGCACTAACAATTGAAAATTACGGTCAGTTTTAGACACTGGACGGAGGTACGTGAAATACAAATCTTACTAAAAATTATCAAATCACAGCTGTCAGATGATTCAGTCTACACTGAAAGCTCCCTATGAAAAGTGCTTGTTATCCCCCGGCGCGCGTTTAGCGCGAAGCGGGGGATATAGTATTAGGCTCCGTCCGTACGTACGAATTGGAATATCTTAAGAACCGTTGACTAGATTCTTTTCATATTTGGTACCTAGCTTCATCACAGTATGAGAAAGGTCCAAGTCAGGTTTTGTGACCTTGACCTTCATTTCAAGGTCACAAGGGGACTTTACCGCATTTAACTATCTGCATGTTAAGCTATCTCAAGAACCAAGCTTCACTGGATTTTCTTGGTGACCTTCACATAATTTGACACGACAGCTTTATCTATTGGAAGGCCCAGAGCTCAGTCAAAATTTGGGTTTTCTTCCTTCACATAATTTCTAGGGAAGACCCAGATGACAATTTTGGTGACCTTCACATAGTTTTAAAGATTTCATTTCAGCATGTTAAATTGCATGTTAAGATAGTCAGCAAGATATAACCTGGATTTGAATTATCAGAGATATTTCAAGAATGGTTTACTGGACCTGAATTTTCTTTGATAGATTTTCTTGATAGACTTCCTTTCAAGACTTCCCTTGAAATGTTTTTCAATAAGCAATTTCTTCTTCACTTAATTTTCAAGGTCACAGCAACACTTTGAAGGTTTCAGTACGTTAACTTGCATGTTAAGGTGGTCAGCGAGATATCTCAAGAACCATTCATTGGACTTTCTTCATCTAGGGAAAGTGTAAGGCCCAGTCGATTTTGGTGACCTTCGCTTAATTTTCAAGGTCACAAAGACTCTTTGAAGATTTCAGCATGTTAAATTGCATTGCATGTTAAGATAGTCAGCAGGATATTGCAAAAAACATTCACTGGATATTTTTCATATTTGACACCAAGCTTCATCTAATTTTGGTGACCTATACATAATTTTCCAGGTCACTGCGACACTTTGAAGATTTCAGCATGTTAACATGAATTCACTTGATTTTCTTCATAGACTTTCAGACTTCCTTTAAATGTTTTTCAATAAGCAATTTCTTTAATACTATTTTTGCATATTCATACACTATGACATTCATGTCATGGTCAAAGTCAGTCTTGAAAATATGTGTGTATTTGAACACCTAAAGAGCAAGATATCAAGAGAGGTTGACTGGTCATGTTTTTGTTGACATTTACTTTCGTCTTAAACTTTCATTACTTTATGAGTTTGATTTGATAATTTGCGGCGGGGGATTATGTCACCTTAGTGACAATGCTGGTTAAACTACCAATGGTGATTTGATTTAGTGTAACCTGAAGGTTATGTTTATATAGTGTAAAGCTTATTTCAAGGACAGTTAGCACCTACCAATAAATCTCAACATGGGTCCCAATCCACAAAGCATTCGTAGCGTTATGAAATATCTTAACTATACTTTGTCAAGAGTGGTGTTGTGCTGAGAACACTTGTGGATAGGCTCCCTGGCTTTTTACAGTATTGTGGAATGTAAGAAATATATTAAATATTATAAAAAAAATATGAGGAATATCTTGCATACGTGGATACTTTCTTCGATATGAAATACAAAACCATTGACAGTGTTGTCATAATGGCATGTGTTTCTGATACTGCGTTGCTTTCTGCTGCTGGTTTGCGACTTGACATAGCTAGAACATTGCTTGCTGCAGGTTAAAACTAAGTATAGTCTATTGGTATATGAGTGCTTTTCTGTTCTAAAGACAAACAGTTATTGTGTACTGTATTGTGATATGTATTTCAATGGATGTAAATTGTTTACCAAAAGACTGCCAGTATGAAAGTAAGTTGGTGGGAAGCCTTGTGGTTAAGTATTTGCTCGTTAAGTCCAAGACCGGTGTTTGTTTCCAAACATCTGTTCAAGTGAAGCCCGGGGCGATGGGGTAGCCTAATGGTTAAAGCGTTGCCTCGCCACGCCGAAGACCCGGGTTCGAATCCCCACATGGGTACAATGTGTGAAGCCCATTTCTGGTGTCCCCTGCCGTGATGTTGCTGGAATATTGCTAAAAGCGGCGTAAAACCAAACTCAGTCAGTCAAGTGAAGCCATTTTCTGGTGTCCCCAGAAATATTGCTAGAAGATTGCAAAGGCTGTGTAAAGTTAAATTCGGTCACTTTTGAAAGTAACATTTGTGATATTTCCAGTGAATGTTCTGACTTAAGATCTGTTTCTTGCTTGTATTTCTCAGGTGACGGAGGAGATATGGATCTGTGAGCATCAGAAGGTCACCAAGTGGGACTCTGACATCTTCTCTTATAAAGAACACCTGGCCAAGAAGGTCCACAAGGATATGGCAAAAGCAGCCAAAAACTTGAATGTACGAAAATGATGACGGCTTCTCTTTAGGCAATTTGTGTGAATGTTCTTTGATAATTCTGGTTACAAAACTCCAGACTTATTGGCATATTCCAGCTTTTGACAAAAACATTGAGGTGAAACTTTCAAGCCTTGCAGGAATTTAGGTCCATTGTGACGCATATCTTGCAATGGAATTCTTGTCCAGAGCAATCTTTACCTCATCCCTGGACACTGTAATATTACACTGAATCTGAACCTAAGGAACGCTATTTGAAGACAGTAGGAAGGTTGGGAACTTGACTGCAGCTCCCATGGTGTGGAAGTGATCAATGGTTAAACGGGAAACACTAGTCACACTGAATGAAGGATGCTCCTACAGTGACTGTAAGGCGATGTGAGACTTGCACGCACAGCAATGATGTACTGTGTTTGTCAACAGTGTACTTACTAGAACTGTTTTCATTGCAACTTTTCATATTTACGAGTTCAGTTGGGAAGGTTTTTGTACATAGCCAGAAGGGAGGTGCCTTCCATGGCGTTCCACATCATACATGATGCTTCTATTTATTAACTTATGAACTACGCCATCATTGTTGTCAACTCCTCCACATGGGATGTAAAGACACTGACGTCTAACCGCTGCGGTCGTACATGGTGCGGACAATGGTGTGGATGTGTTCTGGATGTTGCTGCTTCAACCTCATCCTGCTTTTTACTTGGATCATGGTGGAACGGAAACACAAGCCTGCGTACAGTCGTTACTTTTCTAATGTATCAGGGTCTTTTAGCATCTGTGCATGTTTTTCCAATGTTTGTACTGCGTCTTCTCAATGCCAGAGAGATAACTGACAAAATCATTTCCAATTTGAAACCTGACTTTTATGGTCTGTTATCTCCCTTGCCTTTGGAAGCCAGTACGACATATGCTAAATTTGACATATTTATCATGCAAGGAGATGATTAAATGTACTTTAAGCAGCATAGATATGTTACTGTACATTTGGGACATGAGGGTGCTGCCATCTAAATAAGATCTTGCTGTTACCGTGCGATTTTGTTAAATAGACACCTTTATATCCTGATGTCTTTCAGCCTGTTACTCTCAATCATAGCATTTGTATAGCTTTTATCCCAGAAGCAAATTTCAGAACAACGTTATGTGATGCTTCTCTTTGTTAGTGAGCATGGTGAATTGACAAAGTAGTAAAATTAACTGAAAAGGCTGTGATTCTTTTGTTGGCATCAGGTGTTAATATTATCGTACGACCATGAGTGTAGCAGGGTCATAGATGGCGATGTTGCATTTTTAAGCAGATGCTTTGTCCAAAGGAGCATTATTAATGTCTGCCTTTCCTGCCCAACTCATATCGTTTCTGACCTTGCATCCCTTGTCACTTACCTGGACTGCCATGAGAGAACAAAGACTCAAGTGTAATATATTGTTTCAGCTCTTGCAAGTTCCTCTCTCAACCCATCGCCAGCAACATGCCATGTAGATTGTACGCACATTTGTGGACGGAATCTATCGTCAATGCTTTTAAGTTAACTTATGTTGTGGTGTACAGAGACTTGACCTTGTGAGACCTTGTCACTTTATCTTATGGTTTTATTTCATTATTGCCTTTCTCCACATACATATCATTTGGGTGCCAATAAGGGTTGGATGGGAAAATGAGTTTAAAGAAAATGCATATTTTTATTTTGTAAATTTAAAATCAACTTCTTAGTAGGTTTTCGGTCAAATCATATTTTGAATTTTTAAGGCAGTTTTGGATTGAAATTGTCCCATTGTTTAATTCATATTTGAAATTATAACATTGTTTAATATTCTTAAAAGATGGCTTGTACATCAATCACCTGATAAATGTAACATTCATATAAGTTTCAAGTCTTTTCTGGAGTATCATCCCTTCTCCACTTTGCATAATTTTGGCTGGGGTCTATTACTAAATTTTTGTTGTAAGTAAGGGTATTTGTTCTATGACTATTGAATGTTGGAGTTCGTCAATACTCTCTTTAGGGCAGTTCAGTGCGTGTTCTGGAACACAAATGTGATATTTTAGGCCTATATACAATTTACATGTTTCTTCATTTTATTCCAATTCCTTTAACTCTAATATTAAGAAATATGTACTAATTCCTGTTTAAAGTCAAATCTATCAAATGTAAGATTAAATTAAATTTGGTTATAAAGTTGATGCTGGTTTATTTTCATTTTGCCTTGACTTGGATCAAGTTGGAAGCTCTGCAGTCCTTGTGGATAATACCCGTGAATAAAAGGGTTAAATAGGTCTTCAGTAACCCATGCTTGTTGTAAGGGGCGACTGACAGGATTGGGTGGTCAGGCTTGGTTGAGAAATGTCATTGTATCCCAATTGTGTAGATCGGTGCTCATTATGTTGATCACTGGATTGTCTGGTCCGGACTCTATTATGTACAGACTGCCGCCATATAGCTGGAATATCTGTGAATGCTGCATAAAACTTAACTCACTCCTTGTAGATTATGATTGATGGTTTGACGGCACCATTGTTTGTTGTTTTATGCTGCACTTAGGAATATTCCAGCTATATGGCAGCAGTCTGTAACTAATCAAGTCCTGATCACACAATCCAGTGATCAACAGATCTATGCAATTAATAATAAGAGTATAATAAGTTTATGGTGCCTCATCCACAACACTCAGGGACATGCTCTATGTGCATAACATATACACAGGCTCTATGTACAGGAAAGTTGGTGTTCAGATATTTCTTAAAAAGATGAGTTGGGGTTTTTTTAGCTTTGACTTAAAGACAGACAGTTATGGGGAGGTTTTAAAATCTAAAGGTAGAGAGTTCCAGAGAGTGGCAGCAGCATGAGAAAATTAATTTGCACCAAAGGTTTTGAGTTTGTACACGTGGACAACTAGCAAGAGTTTATCACTGGAGCGGAGAGATCTTTCCGTGTTATCAAGTCCTGTAGGTATGCTGGGCCAATGTTATTAATACAATTATGATGAAGTGTCGGCCAAGACAGTGAGTCCGACCACCCGATCCCGTTAGTGCCTGTTACAAACCACAGGGGGTAAAACAAACTTTTTCATTTTTGGGACCTGGCTGCTTATTTATTTTAAGCAAAGCTTTGTCATAGGCTTACAAATGGCCTAATGCTTTAAACGCTTTGTGGATATGGTCCCAGAACACTAAATATGATTGAGCATCCGTGCCCAACTCAGGACAGGCCGAACAGGGACTTCTTGCAGGTTACAGAATGGGGAGAGAAGTGCGAGTGAGTATGAGTATGGTTTTACCACGCTTATAGCAATATTCCAGCAATATCATGGCAGGGGACACCAGAAATGGGCTTCACACATTGTACCCATGTGGGGAATTAAGGTGAGGTGAAATTGGGTTTTACGTCGTGCTTGAGAATGTTTTGCTCATATGATGACGTGCATGCGTGTGTATGTGTATGTGCGGCTGCTTGTACCAGCCCAGACTGAAGCTGGTTTTATAGTGCTAGCCAACTGAGATACCCCACTCAGACACATTATACTGACTCCAAGCCGACCAGTCCTTCTTGTACCCATCAATGCCGAGCGCCAGGCAGGGACCAACAAGTACCATATTTTTAACGTCTTTTGTATGACGCGGTCGGGGATTGAACCCGCGACCTTCCGCTCTCTGGGCAGACGCTCTAACCACTACACCACGGAGGCGGTCTGTGGGGAATTGAACCCGGTCTTATACGTGATACACCCGGCCTTATCATCCATACTGCATATGTTTTTACCATCCACTAGACCAAGCAGTTTTACACGTGCAGTTGGTCTGTGAACACCGTTTCAACAATGGGTAAACTAGAGGTGAAACGGTATACTGCAGCATTAGTAGAACCGCAGTATTTTGCCTTTGGTTGGGTATGCCATAATGCAATCAAAAATATTCGGTTTTTGGCCTGTCATTTCTATCTAGTCATAAAGATTATAGCTATTATTTTTTCCATATGCAAGGTTTGGTGCTTGTCAATTTTCTGATCATATCTCATATACCCAAGGGTAAACCTTGTTTGTTTTTAGTAACCTGATATATTCTGTGGCTAGTTCAATAACAAGAATTTATGGAGGATGTGAGGCATCATCCTAATTACACTTTTACTGCTGCTGAGGGATCCTAAAAGATAGGACTTTTCTAGCCTTTGGCCTAGGACTAAAGATATATTAGGAAGTACTATGGTTCAGGTACTATTCACACTTTGCTAAGGATCAAATCATTGTTTCAACAGAACACTATGATGTGGGGTCTAATTTGGTTTATATATCTAAGCTTATTGTAAGCATGGATCCCATACCTGCTATTGACAGGTGTAAATGACACTGCCACGATTTAAAAAATGGTTGATTGGTGCCACTATTTTTATGGTTACTCGTGTATCAAGTGCAAAAGGTTAGAATAAAGTGGCTGTTTGCCTAAAGAAGGGTTACCATATTATTATCCAGTTTTAAATGGATACAGTTTCACATTACAAATCTATGTTTAAGTAAAGTTAGGAATTGTTGTGATCCTTAGCAAAGTGTGAGTAGTATATCTTTTAAAGGCCTACATCAGGCAGTGGCAACTCAAAAAGAAAAGTAGTAAATCCTGAACCAGGAAGGAATCAGCAATCAATGACGGTCATACGATTTCACGAATGGGATCATGTTGTCATGACTGCGTGACTTGGTTGATTGTGTTTGTCAGTCACTGGGTTTCAGATCCAAACTTGATCAGTTACTGGTCACCGTCGTATAGCAATTCACTCGCTCCCACACAAAATTGAATCCAGTTAGGCAGTCATAGAAAACATACCGCTTTCGCCAGATGTCTTGTATAATTTCTGGTTGGTTGGTTTGTTGTTTAACGACGCACTCAGCAATGTTACTGATATATGGCGGCGGTCTGTAAATGATCACTGGATTGTCTGGTCCAGATTTGATGACCAGTATGAGCACTGATCTACGTAATTGGGATACAAAGACTTGTGTCAGCCAAGTCAGCGAGCCTGACCACCCGATCCCGTTAGTCACTTCTTAAGACAAGCATGGGTTACTGAAGACCAATTCTAACCCAGGCCTTCACGGAGTCCTTGTATAATGAAACCACATTGATCCTGAATGAACAGACCACTCTTCCTCATTCACATAAAAAAATATAAAAAGCAATTTCCAAGTTCACACAATCACTTTTTATATCATAATTCTTTCTGTTAGGAAAAGCATTCTAGAAACAACTGGAATCTTAAAAATACAATAAAATACAAGAAATGATGACAGTAATTGTTAATCAGGCTGAAAGATGAAATAAGGAACAGAAAGTAGACAAATTGATTTTTCAGATGTACCAGTAAACTTAAAAGCAACATTGAGAGCTGCAAATTACAACAGAAGTAGCAGCTCACACTTCATGCTTTCACAAGAGTTGCAAAGACAAACTGCTATAGCAAGTACTGAAAGAAAACCAAGTGAGCCTGAAATATCATAGAAAACTCTGGATGCTGCTGAAGACACAGAACTTCTCCAAATACATCCTGTGGTTATGGAAAGTTCAGACTTTTATACAGTGTCTCTTGATCGATGGACCCCGTGAGCCGCATTCGCAGGATGTTGGTTAGTCACAATGAACTCTTAATGTCATTCAACATGATAATACTTTCCTCGAAATTCAGGCCTCATCACGACATCAATCAATCCTCACAAAAATGAAGCATGGCACTTGACATTTTCTCAAGTATATAATGCGCAGTTTTAGAGATATGTTGACTACAATGAAACCTTGCATACCTAAAAAATGGGAAATTTTAGACAAATTTACTATTGACTAGGAATTTATATTTGCAGTACATTCTAAAATTTACATCTGGTCCTGTAAACATGAATTACTGTTTCTTTTAAGCATTGAAATCATCAGCTGTTTTTCATGTGTTGGAAAACAACATGGATTAATAATAAAACAACATTTCTACTGTTTTAAAGCTATCCAAGGTCTAGCGGTTTAATGCCGTCAGTTTGTGGTGATGAGATGAGAGCCTGAAATAGAGGGAATATGCAATTGTGGGCCATCAACCAACACTCGTACATAGCTTGGCATGATTTACAGGTCTTTCCGCCTCCAACCCAGTGGTATTATCATTGCAAGTCAGGTAAATCTGAAACAAAAAGGAGGACATGTCACAATCAAAGGCTCTGATAATACAAGAGTCACCAAAAGATGACATATCCCCCCGACCCCCACATATTTGAAAGAACAAATCATCTGACAGTCCAGCTTGACTTTTTTTAAAACTAAGTCCAAATCGTTTCCATGGAAATAATGAGAAATATAAATGCCAAAAATATGTAAATAGCAAAAGGCACCATTTCAAAATTTGCCTAATATATCTGCCAAGTTCTGTTGAAAGATACTGAACGCTTTTGAGTTGTGCACCAGAAATGAAGCCCACCCCTCCCTTTTGGGACTAGGCCCTAACCCATGGAAACCGGGGAAATATAAATATGCCAAATAGCAAAAGGCACCACTTTGGGATCTGCCTCACATATCTGCCAAGTTTTGCTGAAAGATATTAAGAAGTTTTCGAGTTGTGCTCCAGAAACGAAGCCCACCCCTCCTTTTTGAGACTAAGTCCGAATCTTTTCCATGGAAGCCGGGCAAAATAAAAATGCCAAAAATCTGTAAATAGCAAAAGGCACCACTTAAGGTTCTGTTTGATACATCTACCAAGTTTTGTTGAAAAATATTGAACAGTTTTTGAGTTATGCTCTGGAAGCAAAATGATTACCGGACGGACGGACGGACGATTTTAATTTGAGGCGTCGACTATATGCACGGGCAGCATGAGTGTCGAACCCTGTATATCCCCCCATAATACATGCCGGGGGGATAAAAAGATGAAACAATTGACTTTGTTGTGCTAAGGTGTTACCTAATGATGTCTTCACAATAGTTTGTTGCTTAACACCACACTCAGCAATATTCCAGCTATATGGCAGCAGTCTGTAAATAATCAAGTCTTGACCAGACAATCCAGTGATCAACTCCACAAACATCGAGTTGTTGGGATACGTTGACACGAGTCAACCAAGTCAGCGAGAGTGACCACCTGATCTCGTTAATCGCCTCTTACATTAAGCATGGGTGAGGTGAGGTGAAATTGGGTTTAACGTCGTGCTTGAGAATATTTCGCTCATATGACGACGTGCATGCGTGTGTATGTGTATGTGCGGCTGCTTGTACTATCCCAGACTGAACCTGGTTTTATAGTGCTAGCCCACTGAGATACCATGCCGCAGTGAAGCATGAATACTCCACTCAGACACTTTATACTGACTCCGAACCGACCAGTCCTTGTTGTACCCATTAATGCCGAGTGCCAGGCAGGGACCAACAAGTACCATATTTTAAAGTTTTTGGTATGACACGGTTGGGGATTGAACCCGCGACCTCTGCTCTCCGGGTGGACACTCTAACCACTACACCACGGAGGCGGTCCATTAAGCACGGGTTGCTGAAGAACCAATTATACCCCAGATCTTCACGGGTACTTCAGTGTCTACACAGCTAAAACTGGTTTGGGGAGTAGTGGTTGCTTAGTCTAGTAGTCAAAGCATTTACTAGTTAAGCAGAAGACCCACGTTCCTATTCCATTCCATGTGGGGAGACCAATTCTGGTGCCTCATATTGCTGGAATATTGCTAAAAGATGGCAAAACACTCACAGGTACATGGATGTGAGAATGTATCAGCTATACCACAACCGTGAGCGAGTTTAGTTTTCGCGCTTGTAGTAATAATCCAGCAACATCATGGTGGGGACACCAGAAATGGGCTTCACACATTGTACCCATGTTGGGAATCGAAACCGGGTTTTCGGCATGGGACCAAACGCTTTAACCACTAGGCTACCAAACTGCCCCTACCACAACTGTCATTAATACAGTCTGGTCCAAGCACAGTTACAGTGTCTGGTGTTAGTTGACACACAGCTGGTTGAATGAGTTGAGTTTTACATGGCATCAGCATTGTTTATGCCATATAGCGGCAAGACCAAGTCTACATCCACACACATTTGGTTGAATGAAACCACTAGAGTGACACCAAGCTGACTCAAAATAAGCCCAGTGACTGTTCTGACTTGTGAGCTGCTTGTCGTAAATACATGTACACTCACCCATAACAAAATGCCTAACATGCACAATCCATGTCCAATTTCTCAATACCATGCTCGGTCTAAACAAGCAAAGTAAGCAGCCAGCCTTTGTAATTGATCTCAGTTCACTAGCCTTAGAAGACAATGCTGGGTGAAGGACAAATACAAACACAATGATGGTAGTCCTGATCCTATGTGCGATATATGGATTATGTCAGAAAGTGCACCTTAAATCTTCAAATCATCATCATCCTGATTGCAATTTGGACTGGTAACTGGTTTGAAAAAAATCAGCCAAAATCTAGTAAGATTTGACCTTGCCTCAGGCTCACCAAACAGTAGTTCATAATATAAACTCAACTGTTTTCATACATAGTAAAATCTAGTAAAATTTAAGAGTTAAGAGCCATGTTTAAGCTATCAGGCTCATAATTCTTTTGCATGGACTGTAACAAAGTTGTACAGTCCATTTGGGTCCAAATGAGAACTGGCTAAATAATTTCACGCTTCAAACCTAGGGGTGACAAATGGCTGATGGAACAGCACCTGACTAGCTGGGGTCATCTCACCTGGCTGTGCTGAGTTGCAGCCATAGGTGTGCTGGTGATGTTCCACCAGCCGTTTGTCACCCCCTCAGTGTGAAGCGTGAAAATAGCACAATATTACATGATGGTTTCTCAAACAACTTTTTCAGCGATCGATCATAAAACGTCAGATTTCACATCCTGTTGGGTACAGAGGTTTCAGGACCATGTGTTTTATGCAAGATAAACATGCTCACCTTCATCATCACTATCTTCATCAGGTTCATCCTGTAAACAAAATAAAGTCATGAGAAAAGTGGATAAAAAACTATACTATAGAACACCACGACTAAATCTGGTTATAAGATATGACTTCACTCTGGTTGTTCATGGTTATGACTACACGCTGATTGTACAAGATTATAACATCACGTTGGTTGTACAGTTATGACTTCACTCGGGTTGTACACAATATTGACTACACGCTGGTTGTACAACATTATGACTACACGCTGGTTGTACACGATTATGACTACACGCTGGTTGTACAAGATTATGACTACACGCTGGTTGGATTATGACTACACGCGATTATGACTACACGCTGGTTGTACAAGATTATGACTACACGCTGGTTGTACAAGATTATGACTACACGCTGGTTGTACAAGATTATGACTACACGCTGGTTGTACAAGATTATGACTACACGCTGGTTGTACAAGATTATGACTACACGCTGGATTTGTACAATCGCTGATTATGATTATGACTACGCTGGTTGTACAAGATTATGACTACACGCTGGTTGTACAAGATTATGACTACACGCTGGTTGTACACGATTATGACTACACGCTGGTTGTACAAGATTATGACTACACGCTGGTTGTACAAGATTATGACTACACGCTGGTTGTACACGATTATGACTACACGCTGGTTGTACAAGATTATGACTACACGCTGGCTATCAATAATAAAGCTAGTGTGCTTCAAACCACGCTGGCTATCAATAATAAAGCTAGTGTTCTTCAAACAAAAGAGACGACATGAAAATACCCAAGTGTTTCTGGTTTCCTGGTTCTAATCTGGGACACCTGCGTCTAAACCCTTGTTAGTTTAGTTCTACCACAATTTCAGAGAACATTGTGATATTTTCCTCAATTTGACACCCAAAGTCTGAGAGGTGAGCAAATCTACACTAACTTCAGTGAGAAGTGAAATGGTCATATTGACTGTACAGGATCGAAACACCGCTTAAGTTGCATGGCACTGTAAATATTGAAATGGTACAGGTGAAATATTTTCAAGTGCCTTGGCAGCACGCCTGAAATTAACAATTCATACACACCATGATTCATTTAATTAAAAGTTTGACCAATCAAATGATTAAAAACCTATTTTTGTATGCCATCAAACTTTATCGGTGACACTTAACATGGGCGTGGCCATTTTTGGCACAAAGGCACACCTAAATTACCTGTCTGGTGCCCAAGGGCACCCTTCAGAAATATTGCATTTCTATCCTTGTTATATCTACACTCACCTCTGGCGCCAAGCCACCTGCTCCACCCAGTCCACCCATGGAATTCATCATCTGAAAACAACAAGTCAGTATTTACAGACATACATTTCCATCACATGATACAGCAACTCATGAAGACCCAGGTTAGAATTGATCTTGACTTGGTTGACACATGTCATAACATCCCTAATGCACAGATGGATGCTCATGTTGTTGATCACTGGATTGTCCGGTCCAGACTCTATTACTTACAGACTGCCACCATATAGCTGGAATATTGCTGATTGAGTGAGTGAGTTTAGTTTTACGCCGCACTCAGCAATATTCCAGCTATATGGCGGCGGTCTGTAAATAATCGAGTCTGGACCAGACAATCCAGTGATCAACAGCATGAGTATCGATCTGCGCATTTGGGAACCGATGACATGTGGTCAACCAAGTCAGCGAGCCTGACCACCCGATACCGTTAGTCGCCTCTTACGACAAGCATAGTCACCTTTTAGGGCAAGCATGGGTTGCTGAAGACCTATTCTACCCTGGATCTTCACGGGTCGTAATATTGCTGAGTGCATCGTTAAACAACAATGCACTCTTCCTCTACACTTCTTAAAAATGACTGTCCATGATATCAATTTTCAGTGTTTAATATTTCCATTTTATTATGAAAAATACCCTGGATCCATTTGTAGGGCTAGCTTAAAATTTAAGATCGTCGATGGGCAGAATTAAAAACATCAACTTTACAATTGAAGCTTTATTTTTCAGAAATATGCTCAGCACCAAAACCAAAATCCCTCATCACACTGAACATATTAAAATATTGAAGTGCAAACATATTGAACTTGGAGCTAAAGAGACAGATGGTCAATGCCATCCAAACTTATTTCATGACTGACAAACACAACTTAGTCATTCATAACAAATACTTAATTGCAAATTCATCATTGACAAATTACTAATTTCAGATATTTCATTCATACATTTATGACCACTCACAAAGCCTAGACTAATAGTTAGTAACAGTTCAACAACAGATACTGTCATTTTATACCTGTTCTAAGTTCATATCCTCATTGTCATCAGCATCTGAATCATCCTCGTCCCGCCACTTGTCAAAATCTGTCTTCAAGAAATGAACCTGAAACAATAGTAGTTTCATTGTACAGTCATAAAGAATGTATTAGACCAAAAGTTAGAATTACATTATACGAGCCGTGAGTTAAACTAACATCGAACCAGTTATATTCCAGCCTCATAGCGACGTTACCGATTTTATGCGTATGCACAAGTCCATAATAAACGCAACCTCACACATGAAAACAATTATTTAAATACACATTTTAGCATTAGCAATATTAGAACATACAAGTAAATGATGGTGAAATGGGGTTTAACAATAACATCTTACTTAAGAATATTTCGCTCATATATACGAAGATGTGCATGCATGTGTAAGTGTGGCTACTTGTACAAGTGCTGGTTTACAGTGCTAGCTCACTGAGATACAATGCCACAGTTAAGCATGAATACCCCACTCAGACACATTATACTGACTTCGAGCTGACCAGTCCTTGTTGTACCCATTAATGCCGAGAGCCAGGCAGGGACCAACAAGTACCATATTTTAACATCTTTTGGTATGACACGACCAGGGATTGAACCTAAAACCTTCCGCTCTCGGGGCGAACTCTCCAACCAATACACCAAGGAGGCAGTTACAAGTAAAATGAATCTTCAAAGTGGCTTCTTAGCCATGGTATTATTATCCCAAGGATCATATCGCAATATGACCTAAGTCTTGCGAGGTTCTACTTCTGGTACTAAGATGGTTCCCTGGCTCCTTTTACCCTCGCCAACTTGCGATATGCGAGACACAGCTGTTGGCTAATTTGGGCACGGTTAGATCGGAAATTGGTTATTCCTGCAAGCATTCTTGGTTCCTTACTGTCAACTAAGGCCAATCGAAAAGGTACGAAATGTTGCTTGTCAAATTACATACTAAGGTTTCTCTAAGAGCCGTGACCTACTTAGGGGCCCTATTCACATCTTAACGAGATGAGGTGACATAGGGTTTAACATTCCTGCAGTTGTACATTCATGACATCTATGACAGGTAAGACTGATGAGTGAGTGAGTTTAGTTTTGCGCCGCACTCAGCAATATTCCAGCTATATGTCGGCGGTCTGTAAATAATCGAGTCTGGACCAGACAATCCAGTGATCAACAGCATGAGCATCGATCTGCGCAATTGGGAACCGATGACGTGTCAACCAAGTCAGCGAGCCTGACCACCCGATCCCGTTAGTCGCCTCTTACGACAAGCATGGGTTACTGAAGGCTCATTCTAATCCGGACCTTCACGGGTCGTAAGACTGATGAAAATGTACAAAGATTCCTATTCGTGGCCTACAATGATCTTACCTTTTTGTTTTCTCTGAGTAACCTTGGCCAAAATCCTTTTTCCACTTCCTTCTTTCTCAACATAAAGATGATTTCCCTGCCTCCTATTGTGTACTTTGATTCCTGGGGGACAGCAGGCAGTAAAACATCAACAAAGTGCAGAAAAACAATCACTATCACAAACTGACTTCCAACATCAATAAATGTTACATTTGGTTTGGTCTGTTGTTTTACACCGCACTTAACAATATACCAATAAATAATCTAGTCAGGACCAGACAATCCAGTCATCAACAGCATCGACCTACGTAATTGGGATACAATGACGTATCATCCAAGTCAGCGAGCCAGACCACCCAATCCTGTTATTCGCCTCTTAAAACAAGCATGGGTTACTGAAGATCAATTCTGCCCCGGATCTTCACAGGTGCCATGTGAAACCAGGGACAAGGATTATATGCTCACCTCTGGAATGATATCTTCATAAAACTCCAGTGTCGCTTCATGCACAATCTTATCAGGCCCACCAGCACCCCTGAAAATAACATAACTTGTAACCATAGTACGCTCGTAACAACAATCAGTTTATACACATTTCAGCAAAAATAACAAAAACAATCCTAAATGTATATTCAGGTTAGCCGGCCTTTATCACCATTTTTGACTAAAAAGTGAAATCTCTAAACAATATGTAAATTCAAGTTTCTTTACATTCAAAGAATTTTATGTTGCCAAATATATTAAGTGAAAGGTCATAAACAGCCACAAACTGTACTTATATTTAACGCTGGTCAGTAGGACAGGATTAAAAAATATATCAGAACACTGTTACTTAAGGAAATATTTCTTACAAAAAACTGGGAAAGTACGAATATATTGAACAAGCAACTGCAATTTCAAACTTACTTGAAATACAAACTATTTTCTTTAAGCTGGATGTCTGGTTTTCCACAATTATCTAGTCTCACTGTAACCCACAACTTGTCTTTTCTTTGTGCCCATACTACCGCAGGATGGGGTAAGGTGCTGAAACAAATAACAAACAAATCAAGACGATTAGATGATAATAATAGCTATAAACAGTTTTTATAAGCAATGATTACCTTAGCAGCACTCATAAAGGATTGTTTAACAATCATAAGGCCTGACAATAATCTGTAAAAAAACAACAGTCCAGTAAATAGATTTTGTTTGTTTGTTGTTTAACACCGCACTCAGCAATGTTCCAGCTGTAAATGTAAATAAGACCGCGGTCAATTGATAATCATGTCTGGACCAGACAAGCCAGTGATCAACATGATGGGCATGAAAACCATGACATGGGTCAACCAAGTCAGCGAGGCTGACCACCCGAATCCGTTAGTCGCATCTTATGACAAGCATGGGTTAATGAAGACCAATTTTAAACCGGACCTTCACGGGTGTACTATAATAGAAGACCATCTATTGGAACAGGCTAATACTAGCATGACTAGCAGACTCAAAATGTTTTGGCACCAACTGCTAACTGGGTAAATGGGAACGGTGAGGACATTATTTTAATTTTTTTTACTTTGTAAGCAGGTCACACATCTTCAAAACAAAATTGTTTCCAATCAGGCCTTTCTAGGACTAAGCAGAAGAGGATAATGCCAAATATTTGAGTTTTCATCAATGTTTTTACTAAATCTGTTCCATACCCCTCGATCTCTAAAGTAAGTGAGTGAGTTTAGTTTTATGCCGCACTCAGCAATATTCCAGCTATATGGCGGGTCTGTAAATAATCGAGTCTGGACCAGACAATCCAGTGATCAACAGCATGAACATCAATCTGCGCAATTGGGAACCGATGACATGTGTCAACCAAGTCATCGAGCCTGACCACACAATCCCATCAGTCGCCTCTTACGACAAGCATAGTCGCCTTTTGTGGCAAGCATAGTGGCCTTTTCTGGCAAGCATGGATTGCTGAAGACCTATTCTACCCCGGATCTTCACGCGTCTCTCAATCTCTAAAGATAAACTTAAGCTGTGTATGTTTTTTTAAAGGCACCTGTCATGTGAACATCTGTCAAATTTCTGATTACAATTTCTGATGCAAATTACAGCAAACACTTTTACATCAAAATATGATCAAAGTGTATTTTTTTTAAAAACAAAAACAACACAACCTTAAGAGACACCAGTGACTTTATTCACTCTCCTACAAACAAACTGAACCCTGGACTTGCAGTAAAACAAAACGTCACCTCCCAACCCCTCTTCCTACATTTTGTAGTACCTGTACTGACAGGACCCCTTCATCACTCCCAATTACTGAAAAAGACTCCCCAAAATAAATATTGTGAGTCACCATGACTCCCATCTTTAAAAGTCTGTGTAAAACCCTGCCTCTTCTGACTGAATGTGGGCACAAATCTATTTTCTCTAAACAAGTGATTAATGCACATTTTGCTTACAGTATCTTATACATGCCTCACTGTACGAAATCATGCGTACCATTGGACTCACTTTGGGCAGCACAATGAAATATGAAAAGTTACCTTGACGGAGAATAGAGTAAAATTTAAAAAATGTTGAGTACCGGGGTACCTAAAGAAGGCTATCAACATCCAAAGTGAAAGCTATGCATACTTTGTCTATTTTTTTAGGTGAGTGTGAAACGCAAAAATCTTCTATAGTAAATGAAGACAATGACATTTTAAAGTTCAACATTATCATAATATTCACACAAGTTAAGACATATATCACACATATCTCTGAAGCCATGTTACGCTTATATGTATATACTGATCAGAAATAATCTAAAAACAGTCACTTTTTCTTCTTGGTGCATTGTTTCGGATAAATATGCTCACGCACTAAAAACAAAGGGAGATAATCATTTAGAGAAGGTAACAATGGTTTGGTAATAACCATTTCTTCACGCCGCGTGAAAACTTTATTTGAATTTACCTCTGAACTGAACATCAGGGCTGAAATCAATTTGCAGAAGTAAACAGTCTACCACCAGTTTAATACAAACAAGTTAACATTGAAGAAAGTCCGTACCTAAATTCAAAGCTTTGAACGTGAACATGATTGTCTGCCCTACATGTGATAGTTACACGGTACTCTGGGTTGTTTTACTGCTTTATAAGAGATTACACAATGTGACCATTAAACATGAGCATACGAGTTAGCAAAAGCTGTCAGTTACTCTATTACGGAACCAAACGTAAAATGTTTTGAATGCTTGAACTTTTGGTTCGAGAAAGTTCTTGGGGTGTATCTCGTAATGCTTTCGTGCATGTGTCGCATTTAAAAAGATCGTGTGAAAGTCAATAAAAAATATCATCATCCGTGCAAACAGACGTCAACCAAATACTACAAACATGCAGCAATTCAAACGTAGGCGAGCGTTTTTCTATTCCATACCTGCCGGCTTTCCCGTCTGTTGTCTGTGACGCCATTTTGTGTTCAAGCATGCTCCTCGATCACATGGCACGGCGGAAGATCATTAATTTGAAAATCTTTTCACACAACTGATATAGCAACTGGTATTGTAGCATTTACGAATATCCAAAATTGTATCATATCAATTATAACATACACTGTTTGCCAACACTTTTATGACGGAAAACTACGATGATGCACGGATATTGACGAAGCTGTTTACGACCGCTTGTATCAACGATGAAACACATCCACATTATACAGGATTTTACACGCACATCTCTCACATCCGGAGTTTAACGAGGTCGTTTTCTTCGTTATATCGTTTTTCATTCCGAAGAGAGACCACTTTCACTAGAATGTGTTTGTTAAAGATACTTTATTGTTTTCAAGGCTTTCCATATGCATGTGCAAGTACACACATATACACTACCACTCTAACCACAATGAGCAATCCAGTGCACTTTGTCAGGCGGTAAAAAGTTTTATTTTGAATATTTTATACACCTGAAATGTGTAGTACTAGAGGAGAAAACCCATAAAAACGTTTTCTGTCTTAAAATTTAAGTAATGTTCTTTCGCATGAATTTTTTAAATTCCGAAAACTCTCAATACATAAAATGGCAATAAGTTGATATTGCCACAACTAATTACAGCGGTCCTTGATCACTAACGGTTAAAGAGACGAGCTAATTACACATTGACGTGTTATGCGGTAATGTCATTCGGTGAAATATGATCAATTATCATCTAAAGTTGGATAACGGCCAGTAATTAATCTAACGGTATCCGAAATGAACGTTAATGTTTTGGCGTGTATGGAGGAAGTCGTTAGGCCAGGGGCCCCGGGGCAAGCCTCCACACCCCGTCAAATGTGGATATAACCTGGGTCTGTCCAATGTCCAGTCACATTCACTTGGTCAGCCAGCCCAGAACAGACATGGTGCATCAAATAGTCGTCGTCCTGTGTGCGGTGTTGGGGTTGGCCTCTCACCAGGCGTTCGCCCAGTGGTCGGGCATGGGTCAAGGTCAAGGTCAAGGTCAAGGTCAAACCCAAAGTCGGTTTGGGGGATGGGGCATCGGTGCTTTGGGCATGGGACAAGGAGGAGGATGGGGACAGGCACAACCAGCTGGTTTAGGAATGGGCGGCATGTTCCAGCAAGAACCCAATCAGTATAAGACCTGCATCGCCAAGAACTCGAATGGGGACGAGATGAGAGTCACCTTCAGCAGAAGCAACAACAACAACAACAACAACAACCCGTGGTTTGGAAACCGATTTGGCAACGCCCTTCGTCTTACAGCTCGCATCTCCTCCAACCAAGCGGCAACTCTCCAGGGTCAGTTCCAGTTGGTCGTCACTGAATTCTCCCGCACTGAAGAGGTGTGTTCCAGCCGTGCTCTCGGCGACATCCTGACCGACCGTTCCTGGTGGAGCCAGTCCCGTACTCCCCGCGGCATCGTGGGCACCCCCGTCACCATCTACCAGGGACAGACCGCCACCTCCTCCGAGACCGTGGAGAACCTGTCCTTCGAGGAGCTGACCGGTCGTGGTCTGGCTCTGTGTCCCTCTCACCAGATCTCTGGGTCCACCTGCATGGACGCCATCCCTCTGTGCTGCAAGATCGGCTTCGACAGTCAGCCTGCAACCACCCCATTCACCAACCAGAACCAGCTCTTCGGCCAGGGACTTCTCGGCATGCAGAACCCAGGTGGCAACAACGGCAATGGCGGCGGTTTCGGACAAGGGATGCCTGGCGGAATGGGAGGTGGCTTCAATGGAGGCCTAGGCGGTGGAATGAACCCTGGTATGGGCGGTGGTTTTAATGGCGGCGGCTTCGGCGGACCTATGCCCCAGGGCATGAACCAGGGACTCCCTGCTGGCGGGCAGGGCATGGGCCAAGGACTTCCTGCTGGCGGGCAGGGCATGAACAACGGTCTGAACAACGCGGGTACTGGAAACATGGGTGGCCTCACCTTCCAGAGCGTGTAAGGGACTCCAGACATCTCGTGTAACTGGCTGTGGGTCCTATCCTTTGATTAATATATGTACCTCAAAACAAGGAAGAATTATCATTCCGGTGTTCAGAGCTTTTCGGTGTTTACATAACCATTTGTTTGTTGGTTTGATGAATATGTCTGACTTATATTTGTTGACAACAGGTTTTCCTTCTTCAAAACACTTTCACTGTTGAAATGCTTAAGCAAAATGTATCTTGTAATAGAACGTAAGTTTTCTATGTACATCATTTGGAATACGAACAAGTATTTGAATAAAATATATTTATTTTACATGTGTATTTGTTTCATGTTACGTTTACTAGTAAATCGTTTTTGGCGTCGCAGTTTTGGTAATGTAGTGCCATTTACGCGTAATAGTCGGGAGGGATTTATATATACTTATGCTTGTCAACGCATTTTCGAAACACATTGATATCAACAACAACAACAACAACAGCAGAAACAACAACAATAGCATCACAAACAAGAACGTGTAAAATTACATGTAGTTACACATAAGGTACATACAGAATGTTCAGTCGAGTATTGATAAAGGTTGTTGTCCTTCCGTCTGGGCGCAGTCTATCATCATCCCATTATATGAAAATGGAAATGCACTAAATCCTGACAATAGGGGTATAGCGCTGATTAGCATTCTTGGTAGAAACTTTACATCTATTATTAACAGTAGGTTACACAATGGTGAAATATGAGAGATTTAATACTGGAATCTCAAGCAGGATTTAGAAAGGACTACTCAACGTTTAATGTTTGATCATATATTTACCTTGTATTCTATCATTGAGAGATATTTATCTTTGAGCAAGCGAAAGTTGTATGTAGCTTTTGTAGACGTCAAAATGTTTGATTCTGTAGACAGAGTTAGAATGTGGATTCTGTAGACAGAGTTAGAATGTTGATTCTGTAGACAGAGTTAGAATGTGGATTCTGTAGACAGAGTTAGAATGTTGATTCTGTAGACAGAGTTAGAATGTGGATTCTGTAGACAGAGTTAGAATGTGGATTCTGTAGACAGAGTTAGAATGTTGATTCTGTAGACAGAGTTAGAATGTGGAAATATGTAAGAAATAGGGGTTTGAAGCGTAAAATGTATGGTATCACAATATCGATGTCTTCAAATCTAAAATCATGTGTCTGTCGTGGCGATGTTGTAAGTTGCAGGATTTGGTGGACGTAGTGATTAGCGTTAAGATTGCCTTGAACCACCAATAGCTCTGATCTATCCGTGTAGGACAAGGCGCCATTGGACACGTCGTTGTCGGTGTAGTCGTGTCAGGACAGGCCCAACTTTAGGTCGATATGCTCGAATTCCCACTTCTTTCAGACGATTTCTGATGGTTTGGTCGGAAACACCAGACACCTGTCCTGCAGTGTCCGTTGATGTAGCAAATCGGCGACGCAGGTGAAACACCCGGATGAATCGATCCTGAGCAGGAGTGGTCACTCTTGGTCTTCCACTTTTGGGACGATCATGGGTCGAATTTAAGCGGGTGTATCGATGCCATAATCGAGATATGGTGTTGTGGTGGACGTTGAAGTGCCTTGCAACTGCAGACTGGGTTTCCCCTGCTTCCAAACGCATTCAATACCATTCAATCTTGGCATTTTGTATCTTCGTTTACGTCGTAAATTTCGTAATGAAATAATAAATTTGGTTTGGAGCTTTATAGTCGATGTCACCACTCATGTTTCCGACTCATTGCACGTGCATTACGGGGAAAACGTTTTCTGCATGCACTTTTCAATTTTTAGGACAAACGTTACATTTTGAAATGCGTTTTCGCGCAATACACAGCAACCACACCATGGTTAATGGGATTCAAACATAGGAATTGTCTTAATGACGATTGCTGTCGAAATTAACTGCTGAAAACGCTTGTGCGTTTTTGGGTTGTTTTTTTAAGAGACAATTCAGTGATTCACAGCATGAGCATCGATCTACGCAACTGGGATACGATGACATGTGTCAACCAAGTCAGCGATCCTGACCATCCAATCCCGTTAGTTGCCTCTTACGACAAGCATGGGTTATTGGAGGCTCATTCTAACCCGGACCTTCACAGGTACGCTTTGCTGTGATGCGGAGGTGTAGTCGAGTGGTTAAAGCGTTCTTGACAAATGTAATGACGAGGTTTCGATTCTCCACAAGGGTAAAATATTATGGCTGTTTTGGTGTGTGTGTGCGTGCGCGTGCGCGTGTGTGTAATGATGATTTTTATTGAGAAGCATATACAATGTGAATGACTCACCACCCCATAAAACTTATGTACTCCATGTCATGTACAAAATCATTGACCCTCCCCACCCCCATCATTCCCATAAATGTTTAGCATAATTAATATATATATACATATATTTATGTACAAATTTGCTCACGCCGAAGACCCGGGTTCGAATCCCCACATGGGTACAATGTGTGAAGCCCATTTCTGGTGTCCCCCGCCGTGATGTTGCTGGAATATTGCTAAAAACGGCGTAAAACCCAAACTCAGTCAGTCAGTCAGTCAGTACAAATTTGCAGACCCCCAATAGTCCATGTGAACAAGATTGACGACCCCTCTACTTCTCACTGGGTGCCTCTCTCAAAATCATCATATGCAGCAGAGAGGGTTCGGGTGATCCTGGCACAGTCAGGCTGGTAAGGCTCATCATCAGCTCAGGGCCCTTGCCCCCTCTACACGCAGCCCAGACAGCGAAAGGGAACGCTGCCTAGTCAAACCCACCAAGAACTTTCCGGAGAATATGAAGGCTCCCCAACACTGCAGCCTTCTGCATTACCCAGAGTGTCAGAAGGGCTGTACTCCCGGTGGAGAATCCAGTTACTCTCCTGATCTGCGCCAAGAGATCAGGAGGTACCAAACCAAGGGCACCGAGAACAATGGGGAGCCTGGCGACAGTGTATTTGGGATGCAAGCGAGAAATTTCAAAGGCGAGGTCCGCACATTTATCATGCTTTTCCTGAATCTTGCCACTCACATTGGTGTCAAAAGGGACAGAAAATTCAATGATACAAATAAATTCATTGGCTTTATCAAAAAGGACAAGATCAGGTTTGTTGGCTGGAATTCTTCTGAGGCTGTATATGGGCCTATTCCACAGAAGTTTGAAAGCATCATTTTCCATGACGCCCTGGACATGTTCAGGGTCGTACCATGGATGGACCTCGGAGTCAAAGCCACAGGCATGTCGGAGACGGTAGTAAAAGCAACGAGCCATGCCATCATGTCGTTTAAGATATGCTGTTTGTGCCAAGGAAGGGCATCCACTGACAAGGTGTTGGACAGTCTCCGTGAATTCATTGCAAAGTCGACATTTCATATTGATATTGTCTTTAAGAATCACATTTAGGCGATTGCGAGTGGGAAGTGACTGGTCCTGAGCAGCAAAAAGGAAGCCCTCAGTTTCACATTTAAGACCAGCCGACTTCATCATTATTATTATTTTTATTATGTTTTACAGATTAAAGATAATATGCAGCAGAGAGGGTTCGGGTGATCCTGGCACAGTCAGGCTGGTAAGGCTCATCATCAGCTCAGGGCCCTTGCCCCCCTCTACACGCAGCCCAGACAGCGAATGGGACTTCTCCCAGGAAACGCTGCCTAGTCAAACCCACCAAGAACTTTCCGGAGAATATGAAGGCTCCCCAACACTGCAGCCTTCTGCATTACCCAGAGTGTCAGAAGGGCTGTACTCCCGGTGGAGAACCCGGGCACTCTCCTGATCTGCGCCAAGAGATCAGGAGGTACCAAACCAAGGGCACCGAGAACAATGGGGAGCCTGACGACAGTGTACTTGGGATGCAAGAGAGAAATTTCAAAGGCGAGGTCCGCATATTTATCATGCTTTTCCTGAATCTTGCCACTCACATTGGTGTCAAAAGGGACAGAAAATTCAATGACATAAATAAATTCATTGGCTTTATAAAAAAGGACAAGATCAGGTTTGTTGGCTGGAATTCTTCTGAGGCTGTATATGGGCCTATTCCACAGAAGTTTGAAAGCATCATTTTCCATGACGCCCTGGACATGTTCAGGGTCGTACCATGGATGGACCTCGGAGTCAAAGCCACAGGCATGTCGGAGACGGTAGTAAAAGCAACGAGCCATGCCATCATGTCGTTTAAGATATGCTGTTTGCGCCAAGGAAGGGCATCCACTGACAAGGTGTTGGACAGTCTCCGTGAATTCATTGCAAAGTCGACATTTCATATTGATATTGTCTTTAAGAATCACATTTAGGCGATTGCGAGTGGGAAGTGACTGGTCTTGAGCAGCAAAAAGGAAGCCCTCAGTTTCACATTTAAGACCAGCCGACTTCATCCAGGCGAAGGAGTCGGTGGGATTGCTATTCTGTTCAACACACTGCATGTACACACGATGCAATGGCTTCTCAGAAAGCTTCTCCACAGCTTCTCTGGGCAGACTTGGTGAAGAACTTCACCTGGTTTACTCCCATCGCTGTACCGTCCAGCAATACATCGCCATCAACAAAATCAACCTCAAATTTCAGATTCTGTCCAACAACCTTGGCACGCTTAACAAAGCTGTGGAATTGTTATTATTATTATAATTATTATATTATTATAATTATTATAATTATTATTATTATTATTATTATTATTATTATTATTATTATTATAGGATATTTATATAGCGCACATATCCAGGCAACTAGTGCATGCTCAAGGCGCTGATATTTTTTCCCTCGATCATTGGATGTCAATCTCAATGGCACATCGTATTATCAATCTCAACTCCCATTGGGAGTGTAAAACTCTTGCAGCCACTAGGCGCACCGAGTTATTGTGGCTTTCTCATCCTAACGAGGTACCCATTCACAGCTGGGTGGACTGGGAAACATAGTCACAGTACTTTGTCCAAGTTTTACTGCACGTTGCTGTACCCGCAACTAGGTGTTTGCACGTATTCATGTGGCCACCATCTGGTCATATACCAACGGATTCGTGGGTTCTTTTAAGTGCACAGGGTTGTGTACTGTACACTAGGGGTTGTGACAACACTGAAAGAGTCTGCGCACAATGTTGACTCCAAGGTTTTTACACCCGGTCACAGGTGGGCTCGATCCCGACACCTCACGCTCGCTGGATCACTAGCCTAGGGCTTTAGCCAGCTCGCCCACCGCGCCCCATTTGTATCGATATGAGGACATTTATTTCGCGACATGTTTTCTTTCACAAGAGTAAGGTTACTTTTACGACATTTTTAGGAATATTCTCCCAATCACACGGCGGGGGATACCAGAAATTTGCTTCACACATTGCACTCATGTGGGGAGTAGAACCCGGGTCTTCGGCGTGACGAGCCAACGCTTTAACGGTTGGTTGGTTGGTTGGTTGGTCGTTTAACGCTACACTCAGCAATATTCCAGCTATATGGCGGCGGTCTGTAAATAATCGAGACAATCCATTGATCAACATCATGATCACCGATTAACGCAAGTGGGATACGATGACTTGTCAACCAAGATAGAGAGCCTGACCACCCAGTCGCCCTTTACGACAAGCCTGGGTTGCTGAAGACCAGTTGTAACCCGGATCTTTACGGGTAATTTGGGTAAGGAGGCTGGACCTTGGCTTCAACTACTCAGGCGCTAAACAATCTCGATGTGAAGTTACTCGAATCCCAAACCACTGCACTCATGTGGGGAGTAGAACCCGGGTCTTATTAACCGCTAGGCTACCCCAGCAGCCAACTTTTACAAGAACATGCACACATACCTACTGAACCGGAAACATATTACTGACACATACAATAATGTCATACATCAATCGATTCTCCTAACGATAACATGGAACAAAAGCTTGTCGTAAAAATGACAAGTATAGTTCACATAATTAATTCCTAATTAATCGATTTGATTTGTCCTCAGGGCTTTCAGCAGTGTTGTAAAAATAACTGCCATTAGCGTAGACGAGCCGCCATCATTAGACTGAAAAGAGTCTTCTTGTTTCGCCTTCAGCCATGATGGCATGATTTGTAGATAAACGACGTAAGATCAAATAACGTACGGACACAAGGAGTGCTATCTGGTTCTGTCTGCTACTATTCAGGGCGCCGTTGTACAAAGCGATCTTATAGCGCTAAGGCGACCGTAACTCCCATACCTTAACATAGACTTAAGGTAGTCTTAGCGCTAAGGTTGTTTTCTACAACGACACCCCGGTCGTTAAGTTAGTGAGTTTAGTTTTACGCCACAGTCAGCAATATCCTTAACTATTATGGTGTCGGTCTGTAAATAATCGAGTCTGGACCAGACAATCCAGTGATCAACAGCATGGGCACCCGATCCCGTTAGTCGCCTGTTACTACAAGCGTTGAAGTAGACCCGGATGAGTCACAGGAGTGATATGTTCAGTTTTACGCCGCTTTTAGCTTGATTCCAGCAATATCACGGCGGGGTACACCAGAAATGGGTTTCAAACGCTGTACCCATTGGGGAATCGAACCTGGGTCGTCGGTGTGACGAGCGAACGCTTTAACCACTAGGCTACCCCACCGCCCCAATTTTAAGAAAACGCTTTAGCCGCTGGGCCACGTTTCGGCGTGATGATCGAAGGCTTTCACCACTTGCTGCACTTAAAGAAGGACAAATAGAGGAAATAAAGAAGGACATTGCTTTTGATATCCGAAACCTTAGGCGGTTATTCTGACAATAAGAAAACATAAAACATGTTAAATGATACTATCCAGATTTATTCCCACAGAAAAAAAGATTAAACGTTATCAAACTTCTATCAAAAGTCCAACGTGGCTGTTAGATTCCCGACTTTAGAAACCACCGTTCAATCCGGGTAGAGGTTCCTGGTTCATACCGCCGTTCATTCCAGAGGGGAGACCCTGGTTCATACCGCCGTTCATTCCAGAGGGGAGACCCTGGTTCATACCGCCGTTCATTCCAGAGGGGAGACCCTGGTTCATACCACCGTTAAGTCCAGAGGGGAGACCCTGGTTCATACCGCCGTTCATTCCAGAGGAGAGACCCTGGTTCATACCGCCGTTAATTCCAGAGGAGAGACCCTGGTTCATACCGCCGTTCAGTCTAGATGGGAGACCCTGGTTCATACCGCCGTTCATTTCAGAGGGGAGACCCTGGTTCATACCGCCGTTCATTCCAGATGGGAACCCCTGGTTCATACCACCGTTCATTCCAGAGGGAAGACCCTGGTTCATACCACCGTTCATTTCAGAGGGGAGACCCTGGTTCATACCGCCGTTCATTCCAGATGGGAACCCCTGGTTCATACCACCGTTCATTCCAGAGGGAAGACCCTGGTTCATACCGCCGTTCATTCCAGATGGGAGACCCTGGTTCATGCCGCCGTTCATTCCAGAAGGAAGACCCTGGTTCATACCGCCGTTCATACCAGATGGGAGACCTTGGTTCATACCAGCTTGCAGTCCTTGCCCGCCTGCAGTGTTCATGTTTCCGCCTCCCATTCCGCCAGGCATCCCTTGTCCGAAACCGCCACCATTGCCGTTGTTGCCACCTGGGTTCTGCATGCCGAGAAGTCCCTGGCCGAAGAGCTGGTTCTGGTTGGTGAATGGGGTGGTTGCAGGCTGACTGTCGAAGCCGATCTTGCAGCACAGAGGGATGGCGTCCATGCAGGTGGACCCAGAGATCTGGTGAGAGGGACACAGAGCCAGTCCACGACCTGTCAGCTCCTCGAAGGACAGGTTCTCCACGGTCTCGGAGGAGGTGGCGGTCTGTCCCTGGTAGATGGTGACGGGGGTGCCCACGATGCCGCGGGGAGTACGGGACTGGCTCCACCAGGAACGGTCGGTCAGGATGTCGCCGAGAGCACGGCTGGAACACACCTCTTCAGTGCGAGAGAATTCAGTGACGACCAACTGGAACTGACCCTGGAGAGTTGCCGCTTGGTTGGAGGAGATGCGAGCTGTAAGACGAAGGGCGTTGCCAAATCGGTTTCCAAACCACGGGGTTGTTGTTGTTGTTGCTTCTGCTGAAGGTGACTTTCATCTCGTCCCCATTCGAGTTCTTGGCGATGCAGGTCTTATACTGATTGGGTTCTTGCTGGAACATGCCGCCCATTCCTAAACCAGCAGGCTGTGCTTGTCCCCATCCTCCTTGTCCCATGCCCAAAGCACCGATGCCCCATCCACCAAACTGACTTTGGCCTTGACCCATACCTTGACCAAATCCATCACCCTGATCCATGTTCCACGCACTGTTGTCCCATCCACCTAGTTGAGCTTGACCTCGGTTCGCGCCCCATGCATTTCCGCCTAATCCTCCCATCTGACCTTGACCTTGAGCAAGACCTTGGCCTTGTCCCTGATTCATGCCCGACCACTGAGCGTATACATGATGAGAGGCGAGCCCGACCACCACACACAGAGCAACGACGATTTGGCTGACCATAGTGAATCTACACTGACCAAGTGATTGTGACTGGACACTGGCGGGTCGCGGGTTATATCTGTTTCCAGATGGAGGAGTGGGGAAGTCCCCCAGCAACCTATTGCCGGGGGTCGTTGTTCTCCTTCCCAGTTCAAGGAGCGTCCGTGGTAACAAACGGGCAATGACCATGGTTGTAAAAGGTGTGATGTTTACAACATGATGTGGTGTCGCATCAGAATTAGAGATTTTCCAACCATCAGAAAAAGTTGAAAGAAGAATAAAAATTGCTAAAAAGTCGGAAATAGACGAAGACGTTTATCATAGACTGACTTACTATCAATTTGTTGATTGATTCAATTTATTTTTTATACATTTTTTTTTATCCATCTTTTTTTTAGGTACAAAACCGTGACATCAAGTAACTGTCAAATATAGCCATGCGTTTGTATACAGAGTTTGGCAAGCATATTATAACAAATGACATTGTAGGGAAATGGGTCGGTTGTACGTTAGTATTAATCAAACAATTGGTGACAATCATCATCAATCATCAATCAATCATCAATCAAGATCCAACAAAATTGGTAACATTACAAGAAGAGATGGCATGTGTTCTCTCGATATTGTAAACTTTACTTATTTCATTTCTGATCGTATCGAAATTTCATTACTGGAATATTGTTAAAAGAGGCGTTAAACCATACTCACTCACTCACCATCGGTGTTATCTACCACTTCATCGTCAGTGTTATCTACTGCTGCATACCCAGCATCATCTACTGCTGCATCGTCACTGTTATCTACTGAGGCATCATCATCATCATCATCATCATCATCATCATCATCATCATCATCATCATCATCATCAGTGTTATCTACCACTACATCGTCAGTATCATTTAGTTCATCATCATCATCATCATCATCATCATCATCATCAGTATTATCTACCACTACATCGTCAGTATCATTTAGTGCATCATCATCATCATCATCATCATCATCATCATCATCATCATCATCATCATCATCATCATCATCAGTATTATCTACCACTACATCGTCAGTATCATTTAGCCATCATCATTCATGGAATCATCATCATCATCATCATCATCATCATCATCAGTCAGTCATCATCATCATCATCTAGTGCATCATCATCATCATCAGTATTATCTACCACTACATCGTCAGTATCATTTAGTTCATCATCATCATCATCATCATCATCATCATCATCAGTATTATCTACCACTACATCGTCAGTATCATCTAGTGCATCATCATCATCATCATCATCATCATCATCATCATCATCATCATCATCATCAGTATTATCTACCACTACATCGTCAGTATCATCTGGTGCATCATCATCATCATCATCATCATCATCATCATCATCATCATCATCATCATCATCATCATCATCATCATCAGTATTATCTACCACTACATCGTCAGTATCATCTGGTGCATCATCATCATCATCATAATCAGTATTATCTACCACTACATCGTCAGTATCATCTAGTGCATCATCATCATCATCATCATCATCATCATCATCATCATCATCATCAGTATTATCTACCACTACATCGTCAGTATCATCTGGTGCATCATCATCATCATCATCATAATCAGTATTATCTACCACTACATCGTCAGTATCATCTAGTGCATCATCATCATCATCATCATCATCATCATCATCATCATCAGTATTACCTACCACTACATTGTCAGTATCATTTAGTGCATCATCGTCAGTGTTATCTACCACTACATCGTCAGTATCATCTAGTGCATCTTCATCATCAGTATTACCTTCCACTACATCGTCAGTATCATCTAGTGCATCATCGTCAGTGTTATCTACCACTACATCGTCAGTATCATCTAGTGCATCATCGTCAGTGTTATCTACCACTACATCGTCAGTATCATCTAGTGCATCATCGTCAGTGTTATCTACCACTACATCGTCAGTATCATCTAGTGCATCATCATTATGTGTTATCTACCACTACATCGTTAGTATAATCTAAAGTACTGTCGGAAATAGAAAAAAACTGTTTTTAGGCTGTTACTCTACATCCCTAAAATTTACATAATTGCAAATAGCATATGTCGAATTAACCCACATCGGCCTAACTGGGCGTTCAGTGGGATGCTTAATAGGATATCCAGAAAAGTATGTTTAGTCGTAAAATCGGGCAAAACTTTAAAAAAATACGAATAGCCACTGAAAACAATAGATCAGACTATAGGTGTCAATTAGGTCGCTCAGGCAGGTATGACGACTGACCGTCGATTCACCTGGCATGAAATGCATGTGCTGCCGACATCCACAAGGGGCCATCTCAAAGATATTTATGCTTTTTCATGTGTGTTGAATATGTCTCATCTATTGATTAACATCTTACGTGTCTATCTTTCATAAGGTTTATGTGAAAGAGTATGATACCCATAGAAAGGCTTAAATCGTATTAAATGTCTCAAAATATATAGGTGGCATGACCGCCCGAAGACATGTCATGACATGCCGTTTACGTCCTCAGTATAATTCCCCTAAATGATTATCTTATCTTAGCTGATATCTCTATTCAGATGTCTACCCAGCCCGACCCCAACCACCATCTGCGACACCCGTCCTGGTTTTGATTTTGAGACGACCCCTTCTACCTGTTTGTTTTTATAGTGATAGTGAGGCTCCATGGTAGCTACATCCTTAATAGCTTAAGTATTTAAGTTATCATTTTTTACGTCAGCTGTCGTTTATAGTGAAGCTAAGTCTAATCTAAAAACAACAACGCATTGCTCATTTCTGCACTAATCTCTCCTCAGTAAAGTCCTTTTTTGACGTTTCCTATCTCCTTACCACTGAGACTGTAGTTAGGCCGAACTTAGTTTAACAGATATTTGACACTTTACATATCAACTTCATAAATTGGAGATATAAATTTGAAAAAAACACACAGTTTTTTTCTATTTCCGACAGTAGTTTTGTGCATCATCATCAGTATTATCTATTCCTGCATCGCGATTATCATCTGGTGCATCATCATCAGTATTATTATCATCATCATCATCATCATCATCATCATCATCATCATCATCATCATCATCATCATCATCATCAGTGTTATTTACCACTACATCGTCAGTATCATCTAGTGCATCATCATCATCATCAGTATTATCTACCACTACATCGTCAGTATCATCTAGAGCATCATCATCAGTATTATCTATTCCTGCATCGCCATTATCATCCGGTGCATTATCATCAGTGTTATCTACCACTACATCGTCAGTATCATCTAGTGCATCATCATCATCATTATTATCTATTCCTGCATCGCCATTATCATCTGGTGCATCATCATCAGAGTTATCTACCACTACATCAACTGTATCATCTATAGTCATCTACCAGTTCATCATCATCATCATCATCATCATCATCATCATCATCATCATCATCATCATCATCATCAGAGTTATCTACCTCTACATCAACTGTATCATCTACTGCTGCATCATCGTTGTTACCTACTACTGCATCATCATTATCTACTGCTGCATCATCGTTGTTACCTACTACTGCATCATCATTATCTACTACTGCATCATCGTTGTTACCTACTACTGCATCATCATTATCTACTGCTGCATCTCAGTGTTACCTACTGCATCGTCAGTGTTATCTACATTCTTACATTCTGAATAAACATTAACTGATACACTAGCCAAGTCAGCCTGACACCCTATCCCGTTAGCTGCCTCGTCGATCAATATATCGATCCAAGTCATAACGTTTGAACCTCTCCTGAACCTTTACTATATACTGTTTGTAAGCTGATGCAAAGTCCATGAGTAATAATGTACCCGGTTTATCTTTTTTGTCTGATTAATTAGTAAATAAATAGTGTAAATTCTTCATGTAAAACACGAGCTGATTTGACTCCATATTTGCAATGAAGATCATGCAAAGAAGTCTGCTTTATAAAAATAATTATGGTTTTTGAATGATTCATTTATGCATCTGTGAGCCTATACCCCGCGATCGTATCCGTGGCCCCTTGTATACTATTTCTCATTAGGAAAAGGTGTGTGTCGTTTTAATGCAATATAGGTTGAACTACAATGAATTCAGCCTAAAGGCTTCACAGTAGTAATGAGCTGGTAATTAGCTTCCGACGTCACGCTGTTGTAAGAGGAAGACCCACCCACACCTTGGTCAGATTTATGACCTCGCACCTCGACAGACTTGAATAAAACCCGAGTCCGACCAGTGGTCAGACATTCTCACTCGGTCAGTCAGTCAGTCCACAATAACCATGGTCCATCAACTCGTCGTCGCTGTGTGTGTGGTGTTGGGGCTCGCCTCTCACCAGGTGTGTGCCCAGTGGTGGGGCATGGGTCAAGGTCAAATGGGAGGAATGGGCGCTGGTGCACTTGGAATTGCTCAAGGTCAAGGTCAAATGGGAGGGATGGGTGCTGGTGCAGTTGGTGGAGGAGGATGGGGAAACAATGCGTTCCAACCGCTGAATCGCAATTTGAGACAAGACAACACCCTGTACCAGACCTGTATCGCCAAGAACTCTAACGGCGATGACATGAAAGTCACCTTCAGTCTTGGCAACAACAACTTCAACAACCCGATATTTAACCGATTCGGTGGAGACCGTAGCCTGCGTCTCTCAGCTGTCATCGCCTCCAACCCTGCTTCAACTCTCCAGGGTCAGTTCCAGTTGGTCGTCACTGAATTCTCCCGCACTGAAGAGGTGTGTTCCAGCCGTGCTCTCGGCGACATCCTGACCGACCGTACCTGGTGGAGCCAGTCCCGTACTCCCCGCGGCATCGTTGGCACCCCCGTCACCATCTACCAGGGACAGACCGCCACCTCCTCCGAGACCGTGGAGAACCTGTCCTTCGAGGAGCTGACCGGTCGTGGACTGGCTCTGTGTCCCTCTCACCAGATCTCTGGGTCCACCTGCATGGACGCCATCCCTCTGTGCTGCAAGATCGGCTTCGACAGTCAGCCTGCTACTACCCCATTCACCAACCAGAACCAGCTCTTCGGCCAGGGACTTCTCGGCATGCAGAACCCAGGTGGCAACAACGGAATGGGAGGTGGATTCAACCAGGGACTGGGCGGCGGACTGTCTCAGGGAATG